CAGACCTAGCTGACAATCCCTTGCTCCTTCTGCTGTGGAAAGGTATGTGCTATAAATAAATTTGTATGTCAGTGAGGACAGTAGCATACTGTGATGTATCATGAATTTGGAAAGCAATTTGGCTTCTAAAAACATAGAATAAGATAGGCAGACAGCACTGTCACCTCCTATACTTGCCTATGCACTTGAGATACATAGAAGAAAATATATTGGACTGAACAAAATAAATAAAATAAGCATGAGCTTACATATATCAGAGTTAAAGAGGAAAAGTATTAAATGTAATTTATTATATGCATAATGTTCCATCATGTTGTAAATAATGCCATAATAGTGTATTGTTGTAGTTTGTTCTTGGCTGGTGATAGAGTTCTGTGGTAGTGCTGTGCAAGTTGGGTTTTGGCTTTTTTTCTTTCCCCTCAAAGTATAGTTAGCAAAGGTAGCAGAGAGCACCTAATACTCTGGTTTCCAAGTTGTTCTAGAGCAAGAAGAAATGTGAGATGCAGCTTTTTTTTCTTTCTTACATGATAATGTTTCTTAAACAAGGTAAGAGAGATGAAATCAAGGCTAAGCTGCCACTACCAGTGTATGAAAAACACCATGTTTGCAACTGCCAACAAGAGGTAGTGCATTTTTGGACCACAATTCAAATTACCCACTCCTGTGAGAAGGGATGTAAAAAAATCAACGTGGTGACGGCAGCTTTCTAGTGCCACCTATTACATCCTTTGCTCACAAACAGAAAGATGAGTTAGAAGAGTTGTTAGACCTTATCTCAGGCCTTACCAGTTTCACAGCATTCTGCTTAAATAGCAAAGCCAAGAGTTCAACTTTGAACCAGAGAAGATAATATGAAAACACCAAGCATCTTGGCTAGATCAACTATGTAAGGGAGATTACAGTTTCAGATCAACCATGTAGCAAATGTAAAGGGCACTTGTCACTGAAAATTACCAGGCAAAGATGGAGCCTTTTTTTTGTTGTTTTTAATAAAAAAGTGAGCTGCTTCTAGTTTTTACTGACAACATTTCTGGTGGTTCCTCTGCCCAGCTCTACTGAACGCCGCACACACACAGCCAGGTGGAGCAGCAGCCTGAAGCACAAATTCCCCATAAATCAGAATGCACTTGGTCTTCTGAGGTGCAGGAGCCCATATACAAACCTCAGAGACTGGATGTGAAGTGCTCCTGCATCTTTGCACAATACAGGAGACAGACCAATGTTTCACTGACAGAGACACTCAGCAGCATTTTCCCCTTCTGTTAAATGACCTTTTTGTTACATTTGTTATTGCAAACAGTTCCACGCAGAATTAATTACAAAATTATTTTTTATGCTAATTTGAAGGTTTCTAACTTATTCTTATGAAGCAGTAGGTAGAAATATTCCTGGATCCTGATTGCATTCCACCATCCTCCACCTCCCTTAAATGTTGTCAATAAAAACACTAACCTTTCTAGGTAGCATGGTGAGAAGACATTATGTGATGAATATTAAAAATAAATGCATGAGGTAAACCTGCTGTTATTTCTGATTGTCATATGAAGCATGAATAACACTAATTTAAATGTTGGCAACCAAAAAAGTGCAAAGGAATAAGATAATGGTGTTCACTTCTGGTTAAATGAAAGACAAGAAGTTGTTTCTATGTTTTCTTCTTAACTACAACACTTTTTTTTTCTTTACTGTCATTTCCCATAGCTTATATTAATTTGGAGCTGGTGAAATATACATCTCTGCTTTATGTGGCTATCACCAGATCAAAAGAAAAATACAAACTTTTTATAATTTTGTACCTGTAGCAAATGTTTGTATTTTTTGAATTAGAAACAAACTGCTTTTTGTCTTTTGGTCCAACTAAAACTTTGTGTATTATTATTATTCCCCTTTTGGAAAACCTGATGTATAAGTTTATGCTGTTTTACAGTTTCTAAATAAATTCTTATAACATTGCCAACAAATTCAGCATCAGTACTGTATTTATTTTTCCTGATTATTATTAAAAAATACTATACCATAATGTAGATGAGGCACTCATGCAGAACACACGCCTAACTCTAACTGTTGGTACCTGCTTTGTTACCACAATCAAGAATAATTCCATAGCTGGAGAAATCCAGGAGCCCTCCCTCAGAGCAACCACATGTGCCTTAACTTCAGACATACCCTGGATTCAGTGGCATGAAACACCTCTCTTTCCCAGTACCACTTTGTTAGCTCTGGCTCACGTTGGTTATACGGGATGTATTATTTAGTCGCATCCCACCTAAGACACTTTGGTTGATTTCCCAATCACAAGAAATTTCTGACACTGGAGTAAGCAGAGCCTGGAAAGAACTGTGACACCACTAGGATCCGACTGGAAAGTCCTTTGGGTAAAAGTCAAACTGGGCAGAAAGCTTGTCATGGCAGGGGAGGCAAAAACTTTGTGAGATGGTTTAAAATGGCCTGCCATCTTGGAGCTGCACACCTTTATCAAGCTGATGGCTTGTGAGGGACTGAGCAATCCTACAGAGGCAGCACACAGCCCCTGCAAAAATGCAGTCATGGAAGCCACATAACCTTCACAGACGTCTGCTAACAAAGCAGAATAAAGCATGGTGATAACATGACAGCAGCATCAGGGTAAGAAACAGGAACCCAGCCAAAACAATCAGAAGTAACTACGGACAACTGTGGAGACTCCATCTATTACACCTTTTCTTTTTTCCTCCTGCAAGAGACAAAAACCTGGCATCAACTCCTTCACGAAAAAGGGTTTGACTAGGAGAACAGATAGTCACAATGGCTTTAGCATATGGGGAAACAGGAAATAAAGGTAACAGTTGTAGGAAATGGTATGAAAGAGAAGGCAGATGAGGAAAAATCCTTCTGTTCATCCTTTATACTTTGTTCCTGTACACAACTACAAGTAGAGGGCAAAAGAAGATGGTCCCAGCTCCCCCTTTCCCATAGTCAATCAGTTATTCAGTCAACATTGGCGTTCATGTATAAGTATGTGCTTAGACAACAACAGAGCTTGCTGCCTGAACATAAACTTACATACTCTGCTAACCACCAGCACATGCCAGCTCAGAAAAACACCGGTGCATAACAGGCTCTGAACAGTTTTATTTGCCAGATGTGATTGATGCATCTAGTAACAAAACAGGACTAAAAGTACCATGCTTACCTGAGAACAGCATCCTACAAGAATGTAGCATGGCCAGCTCAAATCACCTTGGAGACTTGATATAAATAAGCAACCTATCACCATATAAAAAAGGTTTCATAATGCATACACACCAACATTATGAGTGTGAAGATGCAACACTTTGAATAACTTTCTGTTTTCTTCCCTCAAAAACTTTAATGTTCCACTGTCTACTTGGCATTTCAGATTTCAGCCTTCTAAGAACTGATTTTTTTCATCTCTTCTTTACAGACCTTACAAGCTTGAGACCAGGACTGCAAAATTAGACACCCCATTCTGACCAAGTTTCACTTCCAAACAGCTTTTGGGAGCTGTGGAGGTGGAAAGTAAACCCTTTAACTTACCTAAGCTGACTGAGGACATAAAGTCCCACAACACGTTATATGCAAACAGCTGAACAAAACTTCATCAAAAAGTGAGCAGTGAAAACTAAGCTCAAGGATTAAAAGGAATTAAAAAATACAGGTTATCCCACAACATTGAAGGTCCATCTGTTGCCTCAACAAGTCTTGATGCTCTGTACTCAATTCTTCTTAGTGATTACACCTTCACATGCCATGGTGATTCAATATTTCTGTAATGTGAAATGAGACATTAAGTCTGTAACCAGATAGGATTGTTAATTCCAGTATGAATCTGCAACCAATACTGGATAACAAGAAATCAAATTATGCAATAATGAAATGTGATAACAGCATTTAGCAACCCAACTCTGCACACCCCTCCTCTTCCCACATGGCTCCAGAAACACTCCCTTCCACTTTTTACCTGCCTCTTGATCCTTACAGGCTCTCTCCCTCCTTTTAGTCCTCTCTATGGTGGCAGAGCACTTTTCCAGGACCTCCAGTAAGGTGGAAGGTGTGAGGGAAGGAGCATGCCAGAAAGCATCCCTTTCTGTGGTGTGGCCCTGCCTACCACAGAACACTTTCCCATCCTGTGACAGGGGCAGCCTCTGATGTTGCTGCTCTATTTGCTGGCTGCAAGCTGACACAGACCTTGCTGCTCACACAGGGTTAGAGATCACCTAGCTCAGTGCCCACAGGGGTTCCAGTACACCCCGAAGTTTCTTTCAGTTTGGAAGGTTACTAACCATTGCCAGTTCTAAAGGATACACCGCCTTAAAAACAAAACAAAACAAAACAAAAAACACCAAAAAATATTTAGCTACAGAAGACAAAAAACTATTCTTCCAGAAACACCAAACTGCTGAAATCCAAATAGCATCAAAACTTCAGTTTTGACAAAGATTTCACAGAAAAGCCTTAGTGGCATGGGGACACCGAACAAAACAAACATGAGTTCCCAGGAACAACCAGCAGCTATTGAGTGTCTATGCCTCTTTTGTCTCAGTCTTAACGTGGTTTTGTTTTTAAAAACAAACCATCCAAGCCACCAAAACACTATTTGAAACTGCTTATTTGGAGATCTCTGCAGAGATATACAAGTTGAGTGTGTAACTCCTACTGGGACAAAACTTCAGAATAATATTATTTTCATTCCAAAGAAGGTAATTTTGAAACCTTGAGGTTTTGCTGGACATCTCCTGTGCAGTTCCACTAGCCCCTAACACTCCATAAAAATACGGAAACAAATTTATGATTCGATAACTGTTTGGAGACCACCTACTTCAGGTTCAGAGTGAGTAAGGTATTGCTTTTTCCATATTCCTTCCATATGAAAGTGAAGAGATATATATTTTAATCCATTAGTTAATGGATTAAATGAATATTTTACTTACAGCCAATAAGCTGATTCTAGAAAGTGAAATGTTTGTTTTGGCACATATTGACTAATAAAATAGGCTGTGTAACCTTCTTAATAAAAACTCTTATTTTTATTTACAAAATGGTAAATTCTCATATTCTTCCCAAGGCAGAATGGAACATAGAAAATCCTGCAACAACAAAATTTAAAAAATTATGGCATGATGGGTAGGCGAGAGGCTCTGTGTTGGTAGCAATATGAATTCTATCTTATGCAATTGTCCATTTCACTCTATCATTAAGTTCATTTCCTAACTTTGGATGATTTGATTTTCTTTATGTCGTGGCTTTGCAGAATTAAGGTCCCATTTCTGAATTTTCCAACTTGTCCTGCAGGCCAAATGCTAGGCACTGATTTCTTCCTTTTGGCCTTCCTGAAATAGGAAGAGGAAAAACAATAATTAAGAGAAAAGCAGAAACACATGAAAATGCTTAATATGGTGAAAAATGTCACCTATTTATGCATTCAGTGTTTGGTATTAAGGAGTATCAAATCATAGCAAGTAATGATCCCAGAACATTTTACCTTCATAGACATTCAAAATTTGTGGCACATTACAGCATGATTTACCTTTCTAAATGTTTAGAAACACAAAGATTTTTGGATAGAGAAGGAACATGAAGAGTACAGAGTGATCCTATGATTAAGAATGTCAGCTCACTTTCAAATCTCTGTATACTGTAGCTTGTGTTTTGCATAAATTATTTCTTAGGGCAAATTCTCTGAGTAACTGATGCATCGGCACACAGGGATTTTCATCCATCTCACCTCCAGCTGCAGTCTTAGACTTGTTGGGGCAGAACTGATGTATTTTCAGTTAAGCTGTGTTTAACTACAGCCTCTGAAACTGCTAGACAAAGAGCAACGTCACCATTTTTTGAGGAGTTCTGCATTTGGAGAAGTTCATTCCACTGTGATGTGCATGACTTCTGGTACAGTTACATAGGGGAGATTCACTGGGGAGACTATACAAAAGCAAGTTAATTTCAACTCGTTAAAAACAACTCACCTCTCCTTCTGTTCTTTCTTCTTTTTCTTGAGAGAATCACCTTTATATTCCTGTTTTTAAAGATACATATTTTAATGAAAAAGTAACAGAGCGTGTTCATTAAACAACCACCTGCACATAAAACACACTGTAGCCTTTGCTTCATAGAGCAGCAGGCATTTAAAGCAAGCTGGGAGACCTTCTGACAGAACAAGTGATGCAACACATTGTGGTGCCACTGCTAGGAGTGTCCACAGCCCTTCCTGTCACCTTACAGCCCACTCGTGCCCAACAAGCTGTCCTTGCCACGTGCAGAAGCAGAGGCTTGCTCCTTGGGCATGTGACAGATCCTAGGGTCAAAAGATGGACCTGCCACCAGGCAGGTGTGCCCTGTCCCCCAGTTGAGTGTTATCTGTCAAATAACAGGGTTCAACCATGTCTGGTCATGCACTAGATGTGCTTCGAGCCACATGACAGAGGAAAAGAAGTAGGTCCCTGGGAAAGACGGTGGCAGGAAACTGGCTGACAGAGCATTTACCCATGCCACAGCCTGCTCCCACCTACATGAGAGGGCAGGGAGTAGGCTCAGAGCCAGATGGGCTGTGCTAGAGGATGGATGCAACAGAAACCTCACCCTTGCTTTAAATAATGAGCAAGATCCTAGATGGAATAGTGCTGATATAAAAGCAGTTGAAGATCCGGCTCTCTGTGGCTAGACAACACGAAACAAACTTTAATTGAGGGCCATTTTTTTTATCTTAAAAGGATAAAAAAAAATAAACTGCTGATTTTGTGTCATCGGTCTATCAGCCTCAAAGGGTGAGGCAGTGAAACCCACCACAATACAAGACTAACTCTGTGCCCTTCATACTGCACACAACCAGCTTTCACCCATAAGATTAGTCCTGTGGGAGCCAGGAACCCAATCCATGGGGAGCAGCAGGTGTCAGTCTTGGGCACTCCTCCTGCGCCTGAGGCATTATCTGTCAGGTTCTTGGGCTAGCTCTTACATGCTGCCTTTTTATACAGAAAATTTCACACAAACCTTTTCCTTGTCAGCATCTTTCACTGCTTTTTTCTCTTTCATTTTCTGTTGGTAAATCCTGTAGTTCACATGTTCCTTTTTGGGGGGCTGCAACAAAGATTGGGAGGGATACCACCAGTTAAATTTTAAAATAGGTTCAAAAACTATTGACACACTTGCATGGACAGTATTTTTCAGGTGGTGGTGGTGAAACATTAGAAACATTTATTTCCTTTTGGGTGAGAGAAAGGGACTTAGGGGATGTAAGGTAGCCACCTAGAAATCGCATCTTTCTTGGTGAAGACAGTAGAGAAAAATGATAATGCTCTGTATCAGTCCTACAAGGTTTTCACATACACACTGAGCTAGAAAGAAAACCCATACCTCTCCCCACTCCATAAAAAACATATAAAAAATAATTTTTCTTTTACACTACTGATGATAAACGGAAAAGTTCTCTCCACCTTTAACTCACTGAGAGAGTGAAGCTTTAAAAAGCAAGCCTCTCTCTCCAGCAATTTAGTTTTGAATGGTCTGATTAAAAATTAGTACATGCTGTTCTTCAGCCTAACCAGTCACTACTCCTCTGATAACACAATTATACTGATTTTCCAGTCATCTACAGAAAATAGGCAAGACAGAATAGAAGATGTAAAAGTAAGGATGAAGTGGGAGAAGGACCAGGTGGTACCAAAGCCCCCCATGTTCTTTACCATGTTTCTGCACTGTAATAGTGGGTGACCTCTCAGCACAAACCAAGTGACAATTACCTTTGCTCCCAGCATGATAGCACGCTCCTGTTCCCATATGCGTTGTTCATGCTTCTTGTAACCAGTGATTCCAAACTTGTGCACTTCCAGACGAGCCTAGAACATTACAGAAAATTGCAAGCATTTCATAATTTGTTCAACCCGTTGTAAAGTAATGCTTGGCAGACCACAACGAAGTCATACTCCCAAGGAAATCCTGGCTAATGCTGGAAATCAGCACGCTATAAAATAAAACTAGCTGAGTTTGGAGCCATACCGCAGAACAGTTAACCACTGTCCAACTAATCTCTGGACAGTGACAACTGTCAGGGGGACAATTTTAAATTCTCCTCATTTCACGTAAAACAACACATGGAATGGATCTCCTCCATATAAAAAAAAAGAGAACTTAACCGATAAGAAACATGGATGGGTAGATGGCGAAGCAGTTTGACTACACACATACATATAGTTAACACTACACAAGAATACTCTGGCAAAACCAGTGCTGAATTAATAATCTTTTTAACATCAGTGATTAAATCCTTGCTCTTCTTAGCAGTACAGAGTTCCATGCAGAACCTCCAGAGAGAGATTTCACAGGATCATAGCACATCCCTGAGCAGAGATTAGGCACATAAACAACTTGCACACTTCTGTAAACGAATTAGTATCTAAGGTGGCCAATGCTAGTTATGCTCATATAAGAACAGAAGAGAATAAAAAGACAAATGGAAAAAAGCCATCTATTGTTTCAAAAATAGAAACCAATATATCTTTTTTTCCCTCCCACATGGGATCAGAAATCCAAGATTTAACACTGTGGGCCTGAAAGAGCTATGCTAAACATTATGTGTATTCAAGTAGCTTTACACAGCTAACATACAGTGTTCCTCTTTAAACTCCCATTGAAAGATCAGAAGAACTGTAATACAATTCTGTAAATACAGAACTGTAATAAGCCTCTTCACATAGAGCAGTTGATTAAAGCAGCATGATCCTCCTTTGGCACGGCATGCAAACAGAATTACCTATGAGGAAAGCCTCATCTATACGAGATACCCATTTCTGGAAGTGTTTCTCATTGGTCCCACCATAGCTTTCCCAACGATATAAATACATATATACGCACACCAAAACAATGAGATTGGACAGCTCCTGCAGACTTACTTTTTCGAAGTTAAATTCTTGTTTGTTCTCATTTTTCTCCTCATTCACTATTTGGGTCTATAAACAAAATAAAACACTTCAAATTAATATAACAAAACCAGTGTAAATGTTGACTGTAACAGTTTTTTAGAAAAGCAGTGAAATGTAAACTGAGCTGTAGGTACAGCTTTCCAGCAGTATCTTTTTCTAGATTTATTACCTGGATCTATTAAAAGAGAGAGTCTCAATGGCATTTTTAATGTATAGATATTATAGTGTCTTATTTGAACAATCTTGCACATTTTATAGGGTACCATTACAGTACAGTGCACATACCTTCGTCCTGCACTTCCTTGACTAGATCATCTATCTGCTAATGCTTACAGAAAGTTCCATACTTCAGAAACTTATTAATAGCTGCAATTAATTTATACACTTTCAAGAATAATTACATCTTATAAGAGAAAAACTGCCACATGTGAGCTATGCATCACACGTATTTCCACTTCCAAACTGACACCAAACTGCCAATGTAGGATAGGACACGCATTTTAAGTCATTTTGTTTGAGACAGAGAGCGCACTGGTAATAGAAGATGTAGCGGTAGCCAGAGCAACAAGCTTAATTCCCAAATGCATGTGTATATACTAGTGCCCATATCCAGCTTCACTAGTGCAAGACAAACTGCTTCAAAGGGCGCCCTGCCGGCAAATGGCAGAACCTACTTAGCGTTGTTTAAAGAAAGTACTCGCTCAAAAGGAGCTCAATGAAAACCAGATCTTTTCTAGTTTGTGATTTACACAGACACCTTCCATCAGCAGTAATCAGTTTGGAGGGGAACTCTCCCAGGGGAACAGATTGTATCCTAGGAAGAAAAAGAAGTGTAAAATCCCAAGGAAAAGAGCTCCATGGTTGCTTGTTACAGGAGTGTTCCACACAGGACACTTTGGAGCATTAACAAATCTCCCAAGGTTATTTTAGATAGTGTCTGCTTCCTGATTTCAGGTTGGATAAGCAGAACCACCTCTCTGAGTGGAAGCTCTGCCGGCTCCTAAGCGCACTGATGTGGGCAGGCAGCATAGGCAGGGAAACTGCCATCTGTTCAAGAGTATCACCTGCTCGTCTTTCCCCGTTTACTCTCAAGGCTACTATCCCCCCTAAGGATGCAGGAATACTACATAAGTATTAAAGCTGAAGTGGATATGCTTTTCATGTATTTCCTTTTCACTCTCCAGGACCTTAAGCCACACTGAGTCATGGGTTCAGGCCTGAGGGTTACAATAGGGCTTCCCTGTGCATCCACCACAGCTCTCCAAAAGCTTCTGTGTAAAAATATCCATCTCAACCACAAGTAAACCTGGTTGTCTTCAGAGCATTTTGCTAACAAGCCTAACACCAGTCTTCTTAGTTATAAAAATTTAAGCTGTAAAAAGCATTAAAAAAATAAATATTTAGGGCAATTTTTAGAGGAAAACATTCTGGAAAAAGTACAAAAGTTTATGGATTCAACCAACTGCTTGGTCAGTCTCTTGAACTTCTCAGTTCCAAGCAGTTCAACCCCAGATATCAGTAAGTCTCCCCCAAATTCAAGACAGCCATATACTGGCCCATCAGAGTTTATTTTAGAGTTGGGCTTCTGATATTATGGTCATAAAGACAACTCAAGAACAACCAGAGAAGCAATAAATTTGGAGACCAATCAACCAGCAATGGACCTCCCTCTGCTCAGCTTCCAGGCCTTCCCACTGAAGCAGCTCAGTTACAGTTTTTGGTAGTGTGAGGTAATTTAGCACCAACCAAACGAGAAGACTGAAATCTAATGCTATCATGCCTTCCCCCATCAACTACCCAATACTAATCCTCCAAGACACATTTTGTTTGTCAACAGCCCAGTGTTGCTGTGATGCCAGAGGACAGAAGAAAGATTTGGCATCTCACATCCACACCTATTGACAGGAATAGAGCAGCAGACAAAACACTGAAGTACTGTAGTAACCAAGCACTGAAGCACTGAAGTAACCAAGAGGCTTTGCTTTCTCTTTCATTCACTTCTTGATATATCTTCAGTCCTGCCTGCAGATCAATTTATTTTGCTGGAATATGCCTATTTTAAATATAGGATACTTAACCAGAGATCTTCTGAAATAGGAAAAAAATCAGCACCGCTCGAAACCAGCAGGACTGGATGCCATCGAACCGAGCACGTGGATAGCCAAAAGACCCCGGATTTCCAGGCAGCTGTATCAGCAAGTAGGACAAACCCAGGCATGGGAGGGGGCTGGTGCCGTGTCCAGGGAGCGCCCTCCGTCCCACGGCTCCCACCCGGCAGGAGGGGGCAGTGGGGGTCCCCCTACCCTCCCGGCCCTACCTGGGCTCCGCCGGCGGACGCTGCCGCGGGGCTGGGCCGCTCCTTCCTCTTCCTCCCGCGGAACACCACGACCTCCACGGCGGGCGGCGCGGCCGGGGCCGGCGGGGCAGCAGCGGCGGCGGCGCTCAGCTCGGCCCGCAGCTCCCCGAAGAAATCGCGGGCCCCGCGCCGCCCGCCCGCCGGCGGCTGCGGCGCCCGGCTCTCCTCCTCCTCCTCCTCTTCTTCTCCTTCCTTGGCCGCCGCCCCTGCGCTCCCCTCGCCGTCCTGCGCGGCGCCCCGGGCGCCGCCGGGCTCCTCACCTGCGAGCCGAGCACATGCCGCGGGTCAGCCCCGCGCGGCCTCCGTCGCACCGCTCCGGAGCGAACACGCCCGGCCCCCTCCCTTCCCCGGTCCCCGGGCAGGACCGCGGTGCCTGCGCAGCGCCCGGCCCGGCCCCGCGCACCCACCCAGGTCGTAGAGGGCGCCGAGCACCGCCTCCAGCCGGCGGCGCGGCCCGACGGCCCCATGGCTGCCGCGGCCGGCGGGCGCTCCGGCGTGTGATCCCCGGCGGCTCCCGTCGGCCCCGGGATGGCGCCGCCCATGGCGCGGTGCCCCCGCCCTCCGCCGCCGCACCGCGCCTGGCAGCCGGGCCGGGGCGGCGCGGGGCCATGGGCGCCGCGGGAGGCGGCGGCGGGCGGCAGGGCACCGCGGCGGGCTAGGGCGAGCGATCGGGTCGCGGGGCGGCGCGGCGGAGCTCGCAGGACCATGGCGACAGCGGCGGCGGCGGCGCCCGGGCGGGCGCGGCGAGGGGCGCCCATGTACTCGGTAGGCAGCGGCGGTGGGAGCAGTGCAGCGGGGAAGGGGCTGCTGCCTCACCCCCTGTGAGGTGCCGGTCAGTCCGAAGCGGGATGGCGCGATCCCCCCAGCTCCTCTGCCCCGACTTTGTTCCCGGGGAAGCGGGACCTGCGCTCCGGCGGTAGAGACGAGGCCTCTCCCGGGCTCAGCGGGGGCGGGTAGCGTCCGAGCGGCAGCCGGACTTGTTCCCTCATCGGTTCACTTTCCTGGGCCCGCTTCTCTGCCCCAGCTGCGCCTGCAGGACCTGTCGTGTCAGTCGCGACAGCCGGGGCTCCCGATCCCGAGCGCCGCGTCTCCCCTCAGGCCGGCTGTGGAAGGCCAGCCGGGTTGGGGAAGGTGGGACGTGGCTCTTCCGTGCGCAGGCTGTGTCCCGGAGCGGCTCCCTGGGGCGGCAGGTGTCCGGGCGCTGCGCGGGGTTCCAGCCCCGCAGAAAACTGCCCTGCCAGCGACGGTGAATACAGCGCTGGGAGATTGTCGTGGGCATGGAGTGGCAGAAAGGGGTTTTCCTGCGTTACGTGGTCGAAGTGACTTTGTTGACCTTGTTTGTTCCCTGCAGTTCCTTTGCCAGCCTCAGACAAGGACGTTTGAGTGTGGGGTGCTCAAGCCCCCCACCTCCCCCCAAGCATTTGGAGGACGAGACTAGGGATAGGGGAAATCAGTCCTTGTTTCAGCAGAGATTCCCAAACTTCTCTGTGTTCTTGTCAGTATTCTGGTATACCAAATGAAATGCAAGCACCATCATTATGTTGCATATCCTACTTACATGGAAGCAGAGAAGCTCCAGGCTCCTGCTCTTTTGCTTCTGTACTTCGCCAGTGTCACAGTAACTGTGCCTGTCACTGAATTTTCTGATGTCCAGGTTTCCAACAGTGTGGTTTATAAGTGTGCTCTCTACCCGTTGGCAATTGAAGCTGGAACAGCGGCTTGGCTGTAATGTGTAAAAGCAGCATTATAAATCTTAAGTGGTTAGTGGTTGGCAAAGTTTGTGGTTTGGCTCTTTTAGAACAGGGTGAAAAAACAACTATTGCCATGGAGAGAAATCAGTTGCATATCAAGTCTGAAAACATCAAATGAGGAGCAGAGGCAGAGAGGTGATTTTTCACTGGGCTGTGGCCTTTGCAAAGCTCTGCTCACCAGAGCAGTGTTGGGGAATGGCTGTAGCAGTGCAGTGACTGCTGATGTGGCTGATGATGCCCATGCTGAGTGCTGCTTTTCTTTGTCTGGGTTTCGTGTAGTTGCAAATTGCAGGATCTAAACTTTTGTAATTGACATAAATTTTGCTTAGATTTTCTGAGAACTGACTGGTCACACACTGATCTAAGTAAGTGTACACTTAGAGCCGAATAATATTTTCTGCTGCTATTCTGAGCTATCTTTTTTTTTGCCATTACAGAGCATAAGGGATTTATTTTTGATTTATTTTTAATCAAGGGGGTTGATATAAGGTGTCAGCAGCAACAGATGGCTAATACAAACTATTTCCAGTCATCTTAACAGTTCTTAGCTTACTTAGCTCTTGCAAAATACCAACCAGTTTAAAGCTGTGGAAGAAGAAAGATTGAAAACTGTAATGCTGTAAACCATACAGGGGAAAAAAAAGCCCCAAAAGTTTTACGTGAATATGGGCCTGGGTTTAATACCCTGTATAGGATTGTTTTGAAAGTCCCTGGAGAGTTTGTTACTGTGGGGCAATTCTCTAAAATGCAGTACTGGAAAGAAAAGTTATACAATCTACCAAATGCGATTACAGTAGAAGGATGGTCTCATTGGAGGACACAAATCCCACTATAATGTTTGACCTTCTCATGTTCTTTTCCCCACACAGTATAGGCAAATTTGGAGAGCATCCTTTTGCCTATACTGTGTGGTGAAAAGAACATGAGAAGGTCAAACATTATAGTGGGATTTATGTCCTCCAGTAAAATGAATTTGGCTTTTGATGCAGTTAAGGCTTTGAAGGAAATTTTGTCGTTCTTCACTGGAGATATTCCTGATTTGAGCTTTTTGTTTCATTTTGTCAAGTTATTTTGTGTTGATAAATGGATAGTAACTAAAGGTTTGCTTTCTACTTTAAATGTCAACTACTCTGTTAGTGTTGCTGATGTTGCTGTGGGCAGCTGGCAGTGGAACCTGACTCCTTCTCCCAAGGTTGAAAACCCAGCTGCCACTGCTGGGCATTTTGCTTATCTGTTCCTGGTGTTCTCCTGCATGTTTGCTGGCAAGGCTTTCTGCTCAGCACCAGAAAAGGTCACTGTAAGAGCCCATGAAACAAAGTGGTTTATTTCTTCATTATCAGATTGTTTCTGCACAGATCACATATAGGAAGAAGAAGTGGAATGAATGAGAAGGATGCCTTTGCTACCCTTCAAGGGGTATTGTGGAGGAAGACATAAGCATTTTTATTTTTAACATCTTCTTCTGATAGATATAGTTGATCATAAGCTATACTTTTAGATTTGTGTTTCGCAGAGACTTACTCCAGTAGTCTTATTTACCTTGTGGCTAGTGCTGCTGTTTTGAAGTTTAGAGAAATACCGTTTCAGTCTTGGAAAGACCAAGGGATCATTCATACAAACTGTGGTGTTATAGGACATAATAGGAGATATCTCTCTCCAGCGCAGAGATCTGTTGGCTCAAGGGGAAGAGTTTTTCCTCTGAGATTTCTGCAGCGGGATGGATAATTCTTCTTGATGTGCCATTTGTTTTCCTGCTTAGCAGTGATATTGGTTACTCAGAGGCTGTGCTCTCTTCTTACCTTCGTGTGCAAGGACACAAATATGGTAATTTGATCTTCTCATGGCTGACAATGTTGGGTTTTTTTGTTTGTTCCTGCTTGGCTGTTACATGTACCTTACATCCAAGCTTTGTGAAAACCACCAGAAGTCACCAAGGTCCCAGATGCAACTTTAAGTAGCAGGAATTGTTTTTTCTGTGTTGATGGTTGTGTTTTTATAATGTCAGTCATGGCATTGTCTTCATCAAGCTGTGAGAGTTGGAATCAAAGGTGTTTTAGTTAGTACCTATTAATCATGGAGAGCCTGGAGGCAAGGCACTTTAGCTTTAAAAGCCCAGGTGTTCTCTCAACTTCTTCCAGTTGGACAGAATTAAGTAACATGTGGCATAGGGTGATTTGAGGATCTTTGCAGTTGGAAAGGGTTGGGGAGTTTTTTTGGGGGGGTTTGTTTGTTTTTCTTTTTAGTTTCTTTCTGGATCACTGTTTCAAGCAGGTAATATTTGTTCCTGCATTCACAGAGTGTGGAATACAGACATTATTGAAAGCTAAAAAGAAACCCCAAAATGTTGCAGACATATTGCATACCATTATTCTGGTGCTGTAGCCAAGCAGATCACCAAATGATTCAAGACAGTGTCTCATTCTTCATTTGTATGTTCCTAGCAGAAAGAGCTCACATCCAAGAAAAGAGATGAGTTTGAAGATATCTTGGAGGAAAGACGGTTGTCCAGTGACTTGAGATACGCAATGAAATGTTATACTCCTGTGATCTACAAGGGACTTTCACCTTGCAAGCCAAATGCTATTAAAAGTGCTGTTCTCCAGTCAGAGCAAGTTCAATATGTTATCAAGCAGGTGAGTCTGGACACTGAGCTGTGAGATGAGGTAGGGTGAACACAGCCAAGCTTTGTGTGGCAGCAGGGAAAAAGAGATTATTGCTGACCTTGTCAAAACGATAGCTGTGGCTTGGAAGATGGTTCAGTAAATGAGTAACTTGAGAGCCATACTCTTTTGGCAGGAAAAACAAATACTGATTTATTGTAGAGCTGCCAATAAAGCTGTCAGATAGCTCATTCATGAAACAATGTTTTGATTTTGCATATACAACACTTTAGCATTAACTTATCCAATGTGCTTGACTTTTTTTTTTTTTTTTAATTTCTACTCCACTGTCCTTGCCACAAAGCAGCATTGTGAAGGACAGAAGCACTCTCCTTCTTAGTCAGATATTTCTGTGCTTTGGGGATATGTTATTGTAATTTTACAGGCTATTGATGTATTTATGAACCGGTCCTAAATGCTACTTTCATTAAAATGAGAGTTACATTTCACAGGTAATTGTTTGAAACACTGTCTAACATGTAACCATATTTTTGTTTTAAGATGAAGGGCAGCTGCTATTTTGTAATGAATAAAGTAATTTATGGTCGGACTGGCTGATATTTTATATTGTATTGAAATGCCTGAAATAAGAGTGTGTGCTAGTTAGCAGATTAACTGTTTTCAGTATTCATGAAAAATACTTCCAAGTGAATAGAAGTATGTAGGATGTTCTGGTTAGTCCTGAGTGAGTGGCTACTGTAAAATTTTTCCGTTTGTTTATTTTAATGGTCAGTGTTACAAATGATATATCTGAATCTGTTATGATGTGACAAAGTAAACAGTGTCCTACAAAGTAGTCCTGTTGCACATCATGGATGGCTAAGTAGTATGAAATCCAAAAATGTCTTTCAACTTTAGAGACACTAGAAGATTTACTGAAAGAAAATACTTTAAAGAGGACTTGACAGAAAGACATTTGTGTGACGTTTTCTTCTGAAGTGCTGCATTTTTGATGGAAAATGATTTTGATGGATATTTTCCAGGCTAGCATCACGTGTTTGAAGGGGCTTAGCAGACCTCCCATTGCAGCCTAGTTACCAGCCTTGCACTAGAGATTACTGAAAGTACCTGAGACTGTCTTGGGCAATGAGCCCAACAGTCTTCGATTAGTGACCCTCCTGCCTGAGCAGGGTTTACACAGCTTTACAGAGCCGTCCTAGAATTTGTTCTTGTGCCAAGTTGTTGAGGTTACTAAAGTTCAGTATTCAAAAGGAAGGTCATTTGTTTGTTTTAGCTTGCTATATATGTCACTAGTCTGTTTTTTTGATTCCTGATTTTGGGGAATAAGTGCTTAGTTCTGTAGTGGATGTTCACTTAAATCACATAGGATGATCTGTGTGGTAGTCCTTTTCCTGGTGAATAAAAACAGTATCTTTCCTTAGTGAATAACAAGAAGAACTTTTTGGCCTTCTAAGTGAGATTGATTTTCTTAGGCTGAAGTGGAAGCAGTTTATGACTTCTGTAAGCATTTAAAGTAATCAGTTAAGGCTACATGTGGAAGTACTTAGAATGAAGGGTAACGCATTTAATAAAATACAACTGAAACAGTTGATATGATAATAAGGTAGTACATGGAGGTAGGTTGGAGGAGATGGATTTTCACATATGACACAAAATAGAAATAATAGGTAAACAGTGCTGGCTTCTAAACAGAGCTGTGACTTTTTTGGTGGCTCTTTCTTCTGCCATTCCTTCTCTTTCCTCCCCTCTGCTCAGTAGAAGTCATGTTCCCTATTCTGTAATAGTAAAAGGCTTAACTTTTGAATTAAATATTTCGAGATTCAAAGTATCAAATAGGAGGGATGTTCGTTATTTAAATCTGTTTTAAGAAACTTCAAAAGGGAGTGTGCATGGCAACAGAAAAAAGATCATTAATATGCACAGTTGGTAGACACAGTGCTTTGTATGCAATTCAGCTACCCATTGGTAAAGTAATATATTACAAAGAAATTGAAGTGTGACAGCGTTGAGGTTCTCCATAAACTCTCACGCAAATGCACTTAAAATATTTCTGTTGTGAATATCTCTGCAAATGTAGGTTAAATTTTACTGGTCAAAGAAAAATGCACACAGCCTTCTTTAGATGGATCATATAGGAAATATTCTTTGAACTTAAATCTCCTCTGAACATGCTACAAGTTAAAACATTCAGATGGTGTGTTTGGGTGTGTGTGGGAAAAATTGTTGGACACCCTTCCTCCTGCCATCTAAGCCCATGGTTGATTTTTGGACAGCTTTCACTTGGCTTTCTCGTGTTGACAGACACTGAACAGATTCTGTATGATTAGATAAACGCCTGTTGCATATGTGGACTATTCTAGTAGTTCTGCCATAGTAGCTGTGGCACATTAGAATGGTGTGCATGCACTAGGGGAGGGGAACAACTTCTCACTACTGTTTTGTTTGTTTTGTTTCTCTTTAGTTAGCCAAAGAGATGGGAGAATCACCTGATATTATTCAAGAAGAAGCCATGGAAATCCTGGATGAGATGGGCCACCGTATGCAGTTAGGAGCTGTCAGATTTTTTGCCTTTACTCTGAGCAAAATATTTAAACAGCTTTTCCAGAGAGTTTGTGTGAATGAAGAAGGAATGCAGAGAGTGAGTACTGGTGTGGGAGAAAAAGTTATAATATTTTCATACCAATCACTTAGATAAGATCTCTAATCTTCAAGTAAAAAATATGAAAAATACCCTTTGGGAAAAAAAAATACTGCCCTTGTGTTTATTACTGCATTTCTTAACAACTGTGGGAGGAAAGAGACATGATACATAAGTATTTTAGAGGCAAACAGCCATCATGACGTTTTGTACATCTTCCAAATGCCTTCTATGGTAAGGAATACCATGTGCCTGTGATTCTGTTAGACCAGCCACTGAGAGAGTCTTTTCTGTATGGTACTATAAAATAATAACACTTTTAGCTGAATTAGTGGTGAAAACATCATGTTGTTATATTACATAATGGGGTGGCCCTGGTTTTTGAGTCCTGTGATGCCTGTGAACCACAGGTTGCTAGTCTGGAAACAGTTGCTCCAAATTTCCTATGGATTCTGTGCTGAAAAAGGTATAGAGTATGTGGACAGAAAAACCACCCTCAAACAAATCAGTTTCTGTTTGCCTTAAGCCCAGTGAAAGTCTACATTTGCAAATTTCAACAGTCAGTCGGTAAATATTGGAACAATATTGTTTGCACTGTTCTTTTTTAGTTGCAACACGCCATTCAGGAGCATCCAGTTGTACTGCTGCCCAGTCACCGAAGCTACGTAGACTTTTTGATGCTGTCTTATTTGCTATATACCTATGATTTGGCTTTACCTGTCATTGCTGCAGGAATAGGCAAGTATGTTCTTTTATCAATGTTTTCAGGATTCAGAGAATCGGTAGCAAGGGGTATGGTAACTGCACAAGTATTTGTGTTTAACATCAATTCCAGATATGTCGTGTTAAAGCCTGCTTGGGTGAGAGGTTTACAATGTCTGAAAGCTTCTCACTGGTGCTGAATTTTTTTTCATAGCAGGTTCACCCTGAAGTACCCCATCCGTAGACCTAAGTCTGGGGCAAAGATAAGGGTTGCAAAGACAACTTCTCTGTTGCTTTTATGGCCTGGGAACAGGAAAAACTTGCCCAAGAGCTACTGTGGATGCAGAACTTCCGGTGATACTTCATACAGTTTTAAGTGCAGTCATAGTAGCCAGATATGAAGTGCCAGCCGCCTTGTGCTTGTTGCCACTGTGACTGATTCCCTTGAAGCATTGGCAGAACTCTGTTCTGTGAAATGCTGAGAGCAGAACTGGCTGGGAAGCGAAATTTCATGTCAGAGGTCAGGATTTTGGACATACTTAGTTCTAAAGCAGACAAAGCCAGTATATTTGTGGGAAACAATTCTTGAAGACTTAAACAGTAAATGTGTTCTGAGTTAATGTGCATTTTGAAAACCTGGACTCTGTCAGCACTTAACTGGGAAGCTGATTTTGGAAGTCTCAGTTATCAACCAGGTCTCCTAAGCAGGGAGAAAACCACCTCAAGGTCTGGTGCAGCACTGTAATATGCATAGGTAAGCTAGCAAAGATCTGGGAATCTACTGCTTTACTGTAGTCTACTTTTCCAGTCAAGAGGTTGGAAAGACCAGTAGAAAACTAGCAGAATCTGGGAGAATATACTTGCTATGGAAGATGAGATTGTCTGGTTTTTGAGTTTGCATCTGGGTGATGCAGGTTATATTCTGGTGAATTCGGAAGTCAGTGTCTCATAGCTGCCTTGATCAAAGTGTTGCATTATTGTGTCGTGCATTGTTCAAAATCTGCTCATGTGCTGTCACAGGTATTGGTGTAATCCTTTGCTGACTTGGATTAGAGTCTTTTTGAGTTTTGGACCTCAAAAGGGTATCTTTTGATACTATTAGTTTAGTTTACAGGGATTTTTTAATGATTAACATTTTTAAAGTGATTTGGGTGCTTCAGGGTCAAAGTTCTCCTAAAGAATTAGGGGCTTGCAGCTTGATGTTGCATGTGTGTATTATTTTAAATTCCTCTGGAGAAAATACAATTCTCTGTGGTTGTAGTTGTATTTACTGCATATCGTGTTAGAGGTTCACAAGATGTGGTTTACAAACTCAGTCTCAAAGTGGTACTTGTCCTGAGTGGAAAGACACTCTTCCTGTATAGGTTGTAAGTGCCTTTGCTTTGTTAATTGTCACTTGGCCTCAAGCAGCATACAGATAGATCTGTGGGGATTAGCTAAGGGAAGGTAAACAGTTGTCCGTAACACTGGTAAATCCTCATGCAGTACATTAGCAGGAATCTAGCTGGTGCCAGGATCACGTTTCTGGTGTCTATGATGTCCTCAAGGCAGTAATTGTCAGCACTGCAGGTAGAAATGTGAATTTATCTTAGTGAATAACTGTTCTCAAGTATTTCATGGATTGAGGTGGCAAGGATGTTGAAGTGGCAAATGGCCGGCTGCTGTTTTAGACTCATTTTAAATGCTTCCTTAAGAAATTTGTTAATGTTAAGTGTTTCCTGGTTTTGACAAGTTAAGTCTTGACTGTCATTCCTTAAAACTAAAAAAACTTACAAAAAATGTTAGCTGGTTTGATATACATCCCTCAATGTGATGATTCAGGATCATAAATGATCTAATATAGTTTAACTGGCCAGGTAATTTCTGTGTCTTGTAGGATACATTCAATAGTAACTGCTTTTTTCTACAAATGAGTGAGACAATGTACTTCAAAAATTTAGTCTTTATTATGGTTGAACTCTGGCCATCTAAATCATGAAAATAAATTGCTCTAAATGAATTCAGCTTACCAGAAAAATTTGAAAGCATATTATAATATGCCAGTCATGTCTGCGTGAGTCTTGCTAGACAATCTGAAAGAAAATAACCATATTGGCAACAGTGGAATCCTCGAAAGAGATTTTCTGTATTCTGGTAATCAGTGTATTAGAGAACATGGTTGATTCTGCTGGCTGATATAAATCAATAAATTTTGTTTTTCTGGTTTTGGTTTTTGTTTGATTGTTTTTCAGATTTCCTAGGAATGAAAATAGTTGGTGAGCTGCTACGAAGGGCAGGTGCCTTTTTTATGCGACGTTCCTTTGGTGGGAACAGACTCTACTGGGCAGTGTTTGCTGAATATGTAAAAACAATGTTACGGGTAAATAAATTACTGAACTCTCAAAATGTATGTTTAAGAAAGACTGTTGGAATGATTCACATGAAATATGCAGGATACTGTTATTGGTATGTGATTGAAAGTCTTCATGGTGATTCTGATTACGTCAGAATTGCTGTAGGTGAAGACCATGTGTGCATTCCAGTACTACAGTTCAGCAGTAAATGATAAACAACTTACTGCTTATCAGTTGCTTTGGATTGTGTGTCCATATCTCATGACAGGCACAATATTTTCATTAATTTAACTATATGGTGTAGCAAATACAATGGATGAATAAAGGCATAGAGATGAATGAAGTTAGACATGCATGTCTTCCATTAAAAAAAATAACTCACATTTGAAGTACTTAAAACTATTTGTGGGCAATAAAGAAGAAATGTTTTTTTTCTGACCATCTTCTTTGTTTGTTTTACTTTTGAAGAGTGGCTATGCCCCAATTGAATTTTTTCTTGAAGGGACTAGAAGCCGCACTGCCAAGACTCTGACTCCAAAATTTGGTAGGTTTATTGAAAATGTGGAACTTGTTATTATTATTAGTGTTTTAATTACTGGATATGTGCTTTGTAAGCTCTTCAGATAAAAAGGATGTTAAAGTAGTGGGAAACTGGGGAAATCTGTCAGAGTACTGGAAAGTGTTATGGTTGGAGTTCCAAGGTCATACAAAGAGCAGTAATACATGTCACTTGCACTCTACTGCTTTTGCTTCCTTTGATCCATTGTATACTTAATTCAATTACTCTTCACCCTTTTCTTCCTAGAAAATAGTCATCTCCTGACCAGCAGAGAAATATTGAAATCTAACTGTAAAAGTAATGGGGAATCTTTAGAAGGAAGATACTGTGTGAGCACAGAGTAGTCTGCTGAAAAGAGCAAATAACTATCTAAAAGCATTGCTCCCATTTACCTTCTGTTTTAAAGCTTGGGCAATGTCTTGTGCTTCTGCTGGCTTGAAGAGAGAATAGGCACAGTGCACACCTGTTAGCAGTTTCTAAAATGCAAAGGTATCCTTCTCAAAGTTAAATTGCAGTTCTTTTTCCTCTTTGAAAAGGACAAGTGATTCACTTTTTTTTTTTTTTCCAATTTGCAGGTCTTCTCAGCATTGTGATGGAACCCTTTTTTAAACGTGAAGTCTTTGACACATACCTAGTTCCCATCAGCATCAGTTATGAGAGGATATTAGAAGAATCTCTCTATGCATATGAACTCCTAGGAGTCCCAAAGCCCAAAGAATCTACATCTGTATGTAAATTCCTTAAGAACAGGACATAAGTGGATGTATACACACCCTGTAGCACCAACATTTGAGTTTTGCTCTTCCCATTTTTACAGGGGTTGTTGAAAGCCAGAAGAATCCTCAGTGACAATTTTGGTACCATACATATCTACGTTGGCCAGCCGGTGTCCCTTAGAACATTGGCATCTGGGAGAATCAATCGGTGCCCATACAATTTAGTTCCCAGGTACCACATCTTTGCATGGTGTATGCACAGAAAAAACATTTGTTTAGTCCTCACCTTTGTAAATAATTAAGATGTTCTCTTGAACTTCATTTTCACTTTCTCTTGCCTCCCTCTACCTGACTATTGAGATCACTGAACAACTTGTTTTGCCTTAGCAGAGGCTTATCGTGCTTCCAAATGGGTGTTTCTGAAATGGGTTGTTACTTGTGTGGCTTTGCCCTGTGTGGAGAAGATGCCATTTTTTCAAAATTTAATGATGATGCATGAGCCAAGCAAAGCTCTGTGTTCTGAGAATTCAGTGCTTTTGCCACTTGTAATTTCCACCTTTCTCTCCCTTCCTGCTTTATTCGTGCAAACTGTGAAGTGACCTCGTGTCAGGGAGCTGTAGCTGTGACTGGATTGGGTGGCTTTTGCAATTTGTTATGTAAAACATAGTGCTTTTGAATTTTATTGGAAGATACCAAATCAATACAGAGTTCTGTGCTTCAAGTACTGCCGTGAAGCTACTGATGTTTCGCTCCATACTTCTGTCTACATAGCACAGAGATGGAATGACCCCTCTGGATGTTAGGTGCTGTATAGTAGTTAGGGATGTAGGAGCAATATGGAAGAAATGAAGGGAAGTGTGATTTATACTCCAGTTTTTGGAGCTCTTTACTTTGAACTGCATTATTCTTTTCAGGCATCTTCCCCAAAAGCCATCAGAGGATATCCAAGAATTTGTCAGTGACGTAGCTTATAAAATGGAACTCCTGCAAATAGAAAACATGGTTTTGAGCCCGTGGGTGCTGGTTGCTGCTCTCCTGCTCCAGAATTTGCCAGCCATGGAATTTGAACTTCTAATAGAAAAGACCCTGTGGCTTAAAGGCTTAACACAGACTTTTGGAGGATTCATTGAATGGCCTGGTATGCACAAAAAGTGTTTTCTGTTCCTCTTGTTGCTTATGAAGGATAAACTAGATTTCTGTGGAAGTAGTGTATGGTAACTGCTGCATAGAACATTTTCTCAGAGTTGTAAATGGATTTTAGGGTATGCTAAAAATTATGCTAAAACCTGAGAGGTTTTGACTTAATCTGTAGAAGATACTACTTTGAAAAATTCTTAGGCGGAAGCAGAACAGATATTTTACTGTTATATCCTAAATTGTGGAAGCAGGGGGAAATTGTAAGGTACTTGTATTAGAGTACTGAGATTTGGCAATTGTCTGTCGTTCTGAACCCTATGGAAGTCATGGGCAATTTTCTGATCTGCAGCAGTTAACTTGGTGTAATGCTACATTTACTGCTTGATACTGACTGTAATGTAAGTTGTTACTGTGGCAAAGAACTAGCGGAAACAAAGGGGGGAGAAAAATCAAAACTCTTCAGTTGTCTGTTAATTTTTAAATTTCACTTAATCTCCAGAAACAGTGATGACTTTTGAGAGAAGGCTTCTTTGGTGGTTTTATTTATATACTTATACCTTATACGCACACACTCTTTTTTTTTTTTTTTAATATACATATGTAGGCTATTGAAAGATTGATTGTCCTTTCAGATTTTCTGTTTTAAACTTCCCTCTGTGAGCCAGGGTGACTCAGGTAATTAATTCTAGAACCTCAGGATGTAAGTAGTAAAACTAGCAAAGAAAAATATTGTGTAATGCAAGTACATTTACCTTTTCACTGTAGGGAGACTTAAACCATGGATCTTTGCTTTTGTAGTCCTGTATATGAGCAATGATCCCTTTCCACTACTGCAATAAAGAAATAGGAGCAAGCTACTGATATAACAGAACTCTGTCATTTCCAGAAGAAAAACACTTCTTTTAGGGATCTACACTGCAGGGAAAGCAGGCAAGGTCTGCTTCTGCCAGACTGGTAAAAGCAAGAATTTCATGGCAGTATGTAAACAACATTTAGAATCTTACTGCACAGTAAACTGAACAACACACCACATTCAGGTTTGCTTATTTATTTTGCTTATTTTCTTAGCAACAGTGAATAAGCATTTGCATTACTAGGGTTGTGATATAGTCAGGGAATAACAAATAGACCTGGTAATGAAATAGAGGAATGGCAACAACTGAGCAGATTTGGTTGGAGTATGCTGACTGTGCTGGAGGTATCAGTTGCCTAGAAACAGGGTCTGTTGTTTTGGTTTGTATTGTCAATAATTTGAAAGAATAAATACATTTTAAAGGCTAATTTGGTGGTGTCAGCAATTACATGTAACCTGTCCACTCTTCTGTCTCTGAGCAGCTAGTTGTTTCTTCCTTTGTGATGCAGATTGGTTTTTACAGGCAGAACATTTGTTTGGCTGTTAGAAATTTTATATTCAAAACAGGAACTGCAGAATGACTTTCTCAGACTTCTGCTTCCTATTGCATTGAGAAACTCGGGAACTTTAGCAAAACTGGAATAAAGTAGGCTAAAGGAGTAAATAAGATGCAAGGAGACTCTGCCTAAATCTGTATTAAAAGAAAAGAATAGGCGTTTTCTTCAGTCAAAGGCTATATTGATGTCATATGCCTGTGGTGCTGTGAACATGCAAACTTGTAGTGTCAGAAATGCCTAAGCAGAATTACGATCTCCATTTCCTTACTGATGAATGTATCCATCAAACAGATCTCTCCTCTTTTTATTTGGAGGCTCAGAATAGTTGTTCCAGAGACAAAGGAAGCGTTTGTCATTGTTAGCAAGTGGAAGAAATTAAAGTGTTTGAATTTAAAGTGTTTTAATTAGAGAAATGTCTGGAATTAGTTCTCTCCGTGTCCTACTATTAGGCTGCCCGTTCCTGGTATGAATTATTTTGGAACATCTCTCCAACTGAATGTTTGGTGTAATAATTGGTCTTCAGTGATAAAACTTAATGAATGAGTGGAGCATTTTAGGCTATTTCAGTAGAGTTATTCTCCCTTTTGCATCTTCCTGAGTGTTGCACTTTCCTGTTAGATAACCTGTGTGCCAAAAAAGCAGTCCTGTCTGGCCTCACCCTGCATTCCAACATTGCTCAACTTGTCGATGGCCACGTGGTCCTGAATGACAAAGGAATGGAAGATGGAGCTGTAGGGGAGATAGTCTTCAAGCGTGCCCTGGCCATCCTCATGTGTGCCACGTACAGAAACCAGCTGCTGAATGTGTTTGTGCGTCCATCTCTGGTGGCACTTGCCTTGCAGATGACACCCAGCTTCAGAAAAGGTACATATGGATTCTTGAGAATCTGCTGGCTTTGCTCCTTGTGCCATCAGCTGTGAGAGGAGCTTGAGGTTCCTGTGATTGCTAGATGGAGCTATTTGAGGCCTTCATACTTGGGATAAGGCCCATGGCTTAAGGTGGATGTGTTGGGGGAACATGCGGGTAATTTGCTTGTCTTTTTTTGTTTGTTTGCCTTTTGATACCTTTGAGAGTAGGTATATTGTGCTGAGAGGGCAGGGGCAAGGTGAGCTGATCTCAGTTTCTGGGTTCCAAATTGCACACAACTCATGCATTTATACAGTGCAGTCAGTTCTCAGTCTTTCTTCTCTTCCCACTGTTGCTTCTGGAGTAGTTAAGTGTTTTCCAATACTTGGTACTTGAAGAAACTGCAGAATTCATGCCTTATTTTTTTGCAGCATCTGATTATGTGGCATTTAAAGCATTTTCTGGAAAGCTACAAGCCCTTGCTCTTTCCTTTTGTTAACAGTTGAATCAAGTACTTTGAGTACTTGCTGTTCTGTTGTGGTGGTTTCTGCTGTATATGTATGCATGCATGCTTTTAATGTCAAGTCCATACTTTATCTGAAGTAGGTACTCTCTCAAATAAGGCATTTCACTTGCATGTTTTAAATTATTTATTATAAATAAGTTTTTAAACAACAGTACTTTACAATTTTTTTTTTCAGAGGAAGTTTATGGCTGCTTCAGCTTCTTAAGAGATGTTTTTTCTAATGAATTCATCTTCTTTCCTGGCATTTCATTGAAGGTAAAAACATTCTTTTTATAAAAATACTGATTTAGTTGCAGCCAACTAAAATAGCATCTGATTTCAGGGCTCTGCCAAACAAATGCTTTGTGATAAACACCTACAGTGATATCACCTTGATCTGTAAGTGGGAGGGAGAATTTAAAAGGGGATCATTTGGTTAGTTGCAAAATGTAGTCTGAATCCACAAGGTTGCATATGCAATCTTTTTTTATCCCTGAAATTACCCAATTCTGAACAATTAAAATTAACTATAGTGGAAGTCTGGCTTTTTTTCATAAAGCTTCCAGTCTTCCAGCACAGATATAAAAATATATGTAAAGCAGTCTTTTAAATGAAATGTAAATACTGTCCTCTTGCTCTGCAGTTATGAAAGTGACCTTGGGCAGTGAAGAAAAAAGTGCTAATGTAGATTTAATTGAATTCTATCACAGAGTGAGTCTGTTCTGTCAGCACAGAAACAAAACTGTAATTCTTGTTGAGGGTACACTACGATAATTTTTTCTAAAAGCTCTTGCAGACTGTGTAGCAGAGGGGCGTTGCTGCTCTTTGTGGAAGTGAAACTATAGGCATTATACCAATTAATGACTGACAGGTTTATGCCGTTGTCTTTGACAAATAGAGTATGCAATTCTAAATTGTACTTTGTATGATTATACTCCTCCTCCTGCTGCTGTGATCAGTTGTTCTGTATAGCTCCATGTGTGTGCTCTGTGATGGCTGGGCTACCAGAGGCCTGACGACACCCGATGCCTCAGCTGTTGGAGTGTGCCTCTATAACCACGTCTCCTTGACTGCCCAGCATGGCAGTATCTGCTCCTGTAGTGTCTATACAATGGCTAATGTTCCTCTTAGGCCTTGAACTCTGAAGGTTTCGATGTTCCAGTGTATTAGTAAACTTTTTTTTTTTCAATATTTTGATGATTTGTAGTTAAGCCCTTTTAGCTTTTTATTACTGGCTTTTGTCTTGTGGAGAGTCAGGTAGTACATTGTGAGCACAATGAGGGATGCAGCCTGTGAAGTCTTTTAAAGTGAGAACTTTCGTAATGGCATAGCAGTGTCCCTCTTAGAGTCTTATGCAAGCTTTAGTTGCATCCTGATTGCTTGAAAAGAAGTTTCCTCTCATTCTACTTCCTGCTCCATGCAGCCATCAACTCAGACAAAGCCAGTACTGTTCCTGTGTACTGCCTTTTTACAGAGCTAAGTGTGCCTGTGTGCACTCTTAACACAGCTGGACAAAGGCAAAGTGGGAAAACTGCGGGCAGCACTTGCTCTCTGCAGGACTTGCTCTGTCACTTTGTACACAAACCTGCTGAGTTGGAGCTGGCTCTGGTCCAACCAGCTTGAAATGCAGGTGAGAACAGGCTTATCTGTAAAAAAACTGGTTCAGCATCATACCCAATATATATTTTTAAGTCCATGTGGAGTTTTTTGTCTGGATTTTAAATTACATGGGAATTTTGTCAATGCTGAGGCCAAATATCTGATGGTGATAGTTGTGATCTTTCCTGCATTAGAAAAGAGACAAGCATAGTTTTTCTAATAATATTTAAGGCTTGTGACTATATTAAAATCTCATAGATTTTTATATAGAAGAGAATTGGGCCTTTTTTAAAAAAGGCTGATTGCACAGTTATGTTTGGGTTTATTTGTAGGGTTTTTTTTTTTATTTTGTAGCTTTTTTGAAGTGGCAGAACATAGCAGCAAGCAGGAAGGTGGCTGACTATGGCTGACTTTACTGGAGTCATATGAAAGAGTTGCTGTAATGTTAAGCAATCTCTTACCCACCCCTCTGTTTGTTCATGTGTCTGTAGGGTCTGTGTGCCATCCCCTTGTGTTATCTGTGTGTGTATCCCCTCCCCCTTATGCCCATATTGGCAGTAAAGTGGTATTGTCATTGACATTTACATAATTTGTAAACTTCTTGGCCATTTTGTTGTCTCTTTGGTAGAGGGCAGGTCAGTGAACTGTATTATCATTTATTGCAAACAGTGGACATGAGATAAAGGCAAACCTTTACTTCAGTAATAGATAACCAAAAAAGAAATACCCATAGAGAAAAAGTAAATCAGACAACCTGACCCTATTTTGACAAAATCCCGAGGGAGGATTTTGCAATAGCAACCACAACCACTTTCTTTGTGCCAAGGCCTGCTGTGCATCGAGATACTGCTGTGTTTAAGAACATGTTCCACTACCTTTTTGTAAGGGTATTTCTGGTAGATAGGAAAATATTGATTCAAGTCTCTTGAGAACTGAGTTCAGAAATGGAAGTCATACCCTGTTGTGGCTTCTGTTGTTAATTTTGTGAGAAATGGACTTCCTGTAAATGTTAAAATGTCAGTTACGCATCTCTCACCCAGGATTTTGAGGAAGGATGTTTTCTGCTCACGAAATGTGATGCCATTCAAACGAGTCAACAGGAGATCTACCCTACCGACAAAGGAAGTGCAATGGTGTCTTTCTTGTCAGCTATGTTCAGACCTTTTGTGGAAGGTTACCAGGTATGTTGCCCTTCAGAAAATGATCTTTTTCTTTTTTTTCCTGTGTTTTATAGGGAAACTGGGAGAGCTGTGATACTTCTGCAGTATAAATAGTGACTGTTTTCATGGTGGACGAGTGCAAGAGTTAAGAAATAGCAGTAAAACACCACCCTCTCCTGCGGATCCTGATTTTAGCTTTTGACTCAGCCTTTTCCAAGTTACTAAAGCAGTAACTATCTTGTAGTGTGATGGCTCATTGTAGGTTTATAAGCTCCATGGGGAGTGTGCTGCTACCAAGTTCATTGTTCTTTTTTACGATGAGCTCTTGCTTAATTCATTTTATGTGGGCTGCCCTGCCAGGTGTGGAAATGATTTTGCATCTCCTATCTGATAGCTTTTATGGGAGTAATTAATTACATCTGTACCTCTTTAAATTCTTTTGGTTTTTCAAGGTTTTAAAGAGATTAAACCCTTATATTCCCATAGTAAGCAACATATACAAACCCAGGAGGCCAAAATTTCAGGTATTTCAGCATAGGATTGGTGGGACTGTAGATGTTTAACATAGTGGAATTTGTTAATGATCTGATGTGTGACTTGGGCCGAACTGTACTGATTTGCCCAGTTTTCCCATCTGTGAAACACATATTGCTTTAACGAAATTAAACTGTTTTTGATTATAAGAACAGGAATGTTATATTAATGTCTAAGGTAACTATTATAGAAATACTGAACCTTATTTTAATATTGGGATTCTCTTGCCTGTAAAACGGTAATAAAACTTTCAGATGCCCTATGCTGCAACCTTTTGAGTTCCTCACCTACATTTTTCAAAGTGGAATAGTAATACTCACAAGGATACATCTGTTTGTAATTCGTAACAAGCTGACAATCAAAAAGAAATGAATGCTAATTTTCTTTAAAATTGTAGTTAATTTTCAGATACCTCTCAAAGGAAATGAAAGAAGCATTTACCGAGAAGCAGTTTATACCTGGAGTCCGCAACTTTGTTTTTCAACTTCTTGAGAAGGGTGTGTACCCTTGTTATGCAATATGATTTTACGAGAGTAGCCTGTTAATAGAAAATTATAAACATTTTAATTGTGTTTCTGCTCTCTCCGTAGGTATTACGCAGTGTTATGAAGCCCTGTCTTCTGACATGCAGAAAAATGCCTTAGCAGCTCTTGTGCAACTAGGTGCTGTGAAGAAAAAGAAAACGTAAGCAACATTGGCTTCTTGGTCTGTAGAAGTCAGTGTGTAGTCTTAGTGGCAATTCCTAATGTCTGAGCTCTTAGTATGAAGTGAAACAGCAGAACCCCAGCTGCCTGAGCACCAGTCAGATAGTGGTTGACTGGATTTCTGGAATCGTGGTGAAGACCTTGTAGTTCCTTTCTGTACGTGTAGAAGCAGAGTGGCACATCCTCATAGTGAAAAGACTCCTGTAGGACCTAGCAACAAAATTACTAGTAGGCTGCTTCTGACTCCCGTTACCTTTTGGTTTTCTAATTTTCTCCCATGGCTCTGATAAGCAGAAAGAACAGCGCTGCTGATTTGTAATAGGAGAGTTACTATATGTGTTACAATAAGCCTTGCCAGGCAATGTAAGCAAGAGTCAGGAATACTGCTAGCTTTGGGGAAGTTCAGCACTGACATCTCAAAGCAATTTAACTGAAAGCCTAATCATTAAAGTCTTTTAACACAGTTCATAGTTTTTGGGCCTAAGATTAAAATCCACCATTGTTATACAAAAGTATGGTGATACACATTATTGTGTTACCAAGTTAATTTGTGTTGTGGTGCTTCTTACTGTATTGATAAAGTATGACCAAGGAAGTCCCTGCAGTGTCTTGAGTGTTTCACAGAACATAGTTGGCAGGTGATGACCCTGAAATATTTCCTTATGTGCCTCTGTTCAGGAAATGAATAGGTTAAGGTTTGTAATGCTCTTGAAAAGTGCACAAAGTCCTGTAGTTGTTATGTCCTCAGCCACAGCACTGTGCTAAATAGATGTCTAGGGTTAAATTCCCCATTCAAGTAAAAGGAATAAATTGCATGCTACAAAATTTGACACCAGATGAATATTTGGTTCAGTTTCAGAGAGTCTTGAAAAATGCATGATTAAAAACAAACAATTGTTCTCTTCCTGCAGTTGTGCCCTGTTAAAATTGAGGGAAGAGGGAGACATGGGGACTGTGAACAAGAGAAAGGATAAAGAAAGCATAACTCTTCTTGAGTAGAAGTCTGACATGTCCTTAAATTTAATATAGATATGTAAATATTATGTAATTATGAAAATGTTTTAATTCAGGTTTAATTCATATTTGCGTAGAAATGACTGGAATAAGAAATATTCATTGAATAAACTTTTTCTTGTAACCGTAGGTCGAATGGATTCACTTACAATGTAAATCAAGAAGCTGTTAGTAAAATCCTGGACATGTTTGGTAGGTGTTCTCTAATTATTGTGAAGAGAGCTTATCAAGTTATAAATTACTTCTGGACAATGCACATATATTTGATGTAGTGCTTTTTCCATAGTAATTCCATAGATTTAACTGTGTAAAAATCCTAGTAATATTTTTTTTACAATACTTTCTCTTGTGTCATTGGCTGCAGCTTTGAATATCCCTTCTTTATTTCACATACTGTGCAACCCAATGACCAAGAGAAATAAATTAACAAGTAGTTAAATGGCATGGTGCTTTTAAAGCAGGTTGATCAGAAGTGTTTACCTTTTTTTTTTGTTGTTAGATGCTCGGATACCTGTACAGAAACCTGTGGCTGCACGACTCTAAGTGGTTCCTGATGCTGTGAGTGGATGTAAGTGCCTGCTGAGAACATAGACCACTGCCCCGCTGGAGCAGGGACAGGAGCGGGCAAGTTTCCCCCTCTTGCCCAGTCAGCCTTCAAGCGGGGAGGCAGAGAGGTGTTCCCCAGCTGGGCAGCTCTCCATGACTGCTTAGGAGTTGCTGCTGTGAGGGATAGAGTTGCATTTGTATCCTCACTGTCTTTTGTTTTTTAAAACAAATTAAACATTGTCTTTTTTTAAAATGATAAATATTTAAAGAGATGTGAACAGTAATCGCTACCTAAATACATTTTTCTAGACTAATAACAAGGAATGTGATTGGTTTCAAATATTTCATGGATATGAAAATGTAACGGGGAGTTGAAAGACTTACTACTAAAATTAATATTTAGAAAAAAACCATTGCGGGCTGGCTAATGCAAGGCAAGGCATTCATAAGGAATGAAGAGCACAAATCAAACCTTGGGCAATAACCAGGACTGCTAATTGTGTTGCGTTTTGTGTTTTGGTATTTTTTTGTTTGGATTGGGTTTGTTTGTTGGTTTTTTTTTTTAAGGCAACTTGGCATTATTTTAATTACTTCATGAATGTTATATTTAAACATTGAATTAAAGCAGCGCCGTTAACGTGTCTGTCTGTCATCTCTTCCACCCCGCTTCCCATCGCTCACCGTGCGGTGCCCCTTACAGACCCGAAGCGAGGACAAGCGGGGGGTAAAGGGGAGCGAGGGGGCGGATCGCGGGAAGGCCGGGGCGGAGCCGGGCGGGGGCTGGGGCGGAACACAGCCGGGCTCCGGGGCGGAGCACAGCCGGGCTCCGGGGCGGGGCACAGCGGGTGAGAGGTTCCGGGGGAGCGGCTGCCATCGTGCGTGGTGTCCGGCCGGCGGAGGCAGGATGGCTCCGGGAGTGGAGCTGGGCTTCGCTGCGGCGGTGGCCGGGCCGGGCGGGGCATGGCGGCTCCGCAGCGCCTACTTCCCCAGCAAGGTCGGGGGGCGGCCGGCGTGGCTGGGCGAGGCCGGGCTGCCGGGCCCCGCCGCCCTGCGCTGCGGCCGCTGCCAGCAGCCCTGCGCCTTCCTGCTCCAGCTGTACGCGCCGCTGCCCGGCCGCCCCGACGCCTTCCACCGCACCCTCTTCGTGTTCGCCTGCCGCGGCCCCGCCTGCTACCGCGGGTCGGGACCGCGGGGGCCCTTCCGCGGTGAGGCACAGGGAGGGAGGGAGGGATGGGTGGAGGGGGCGAGGGCGGCCGGCCGCCGCCGCGCTGACCGACGCCTGTGTCCCGCAGTGTTCCGGAACCAGCTGCCGCGGCGGAACGACACGTACCCCGAGGAGCCGCCCCCCGAGGAGCCGCCGCCGGGCCCGGCCCCCGCGCCCCCGGGGCGGCTGAGCGGCGGCGCCGCGCTGTGCCGCGTGTGCGGCTGCCCCGGGCCGCGCTGCTGCGGCCGCTGCCGCCGCGCCGCCTACTGCGGACCCGAGCACCAGGCGCTGGACTGGCGCCGCGGGCACCGCCGCTCCTGCGGGCAGCACCCGGCCGGAGGTGGGTGCGGGGCAGCGGAGACCGCTGGGGCGGGGGAAACCACGTGCTGCCGGGTGGTTAAATGCTGGAGGTGTGCCTGATGCCCTCGTGGGAAACTTCGGCTACTCACAGCACGCCGTGGGAAAGTATAAGGAATGTTACGGCCATCAGGGCACCTGATGTACACTTCAGTTGTCTGCGTGTGCTACTTAGGAGGAGATGTGCACCGAGCTGCCAAGCTGCAGGTTCTGAGTTTTAGAAATGCACCGAGCTGCGAAACTGCAGGGCTTGGAGTTCTAAAATGCTGCTAACACTGATTAGTCTGCCTTCTACATCACGTGGGTTTACAGACATTCAGAGCAATATGACACCTGTTGTTTTTTTCCACTGTCCTTAATATAGTGTGTTTCTTAACTTCTAGTCACATCTAGCAATGATGTAAATTGTTCTTGCTCATACAATATTTGTACTGTACTGTTGCTACGTAGTTTGCTGTATGGCTTTTGGGGAGAAGCCATGAAATACGAGATAACGTTTTGAAGTGGTACCTCTTTTCTGTTTTGTAGATGACTCAGCGGATGCAATTCCAGAGCATAATGAATTCCTTTTTCCAGAATATGAAATTTTGATAGAACCTGAGGAACCAGAATTTCATGATGACAGCACTGTAGATCCTGGTGATGAACAAGGAGCTGTAGAGACATCAAAGGACCCAAAAGAACAAGAGGAACTTGGAGCTACAGGCAGCACAGGTCAGAAATAAGATGCTGCCTGTAATTCTTCACAATGAAGCCTGTATCACATCTTCAAAATATAAAATACTGTGGGTTTTACATGTTTGTTGTAAACTACTGGTGAAAAAGAGCTAAATCTACACTCATTATGATGCAAGTTTGTTATAGATGTTCTGTAATATAAGTTGCTTTTACGGGAGAGACTTACTAAGCCCTGATCCCAGGAGCTGTTGAAGCAGCTGTTGCTGCAGGTAGCTTGTAGTTACAGTGTCCCTGGCATGCTTCCCATAGGTAAGGAACAACTCAAGTGAGAAGGACAGGACCTTGAACTGCTGGATGCTGTTGGAATCGGGAGATTAAATTAGACTGTCTTGACTTGGTTCCATTTGTCTTAATTTATGGAAGATACTTAAAATCTCCTTGTCTGTGCTAGAAAAAAAAAATGCTCTGAGGCTATTTTAATTGACCTTGAATTCATGATGTGTTTGCAGCGACCACACTAGCTTTGAACAGACACAGGATGGAGAGTTTGTGGTAGGGATGGAAGCAGGGGAAGGATGCTGGGTTCCCAGCCATGCCTTGCTGCGGTCCAGAGCTGTCTCAAGACTGTTTAGTGCCCCAAGTTGACGTGAGTGTTGTTGTATGACAGATACACTGTTCAGTGCTAGAAACTGAAGTCTGGCACATGCACGGCACTGGTGGCCTTTTTCAGATATCCTGAAGGTTCTGCAGTCTCAGTGATACCCACTGGGAGCCATAAACGGTAATCAGTTATCTCCTTCCCTTTTCCAGTGTTCCAGTACTGAGATGAACCTTAGGATTAAAGGGTGGGCTCAGTTCCGCGCACACTGTGTCTCACCTAAAAAATCCAATGCGCAGGCTGGAAGGTGTAAAGACCTTCCCCGGATCTCCGCTCGCGAAGACTGGCCATTATTATTATTATATAAAACTAGTAAGTGGACCTGTGTGTGACTAAATTTTAACATGGCACAAAAAGGAAGAAATCTTTGAGTGATTTACACAAGGAATGATTTGTGAAGCAAAATGCATTTACAGGTGCTAATATAGTTTTTAGTTTTTTACTGTCTTGTATTAGCCCGTAACTTTTGTTGTTCTTTTTTCTTGTTTAGGTGAAGCACATCAGTCCTTAGATGAAGAGACATTGGAAGCACTGGCAAAACGTGAGACTGAAGAAGACAAGATCTTCCAAATGTTTAAAGAAAAAGTAGCTGCTGAACCAGAGCAGGTCAGAAGAATGGGGCGGCTTAGAACTTAGTGGTTCTGGCACAGCATCCTACTGCACCTGCAACACGTTTCACCGTCTCATGTACCTAGTTAGAAATGGAAATGCCTCTCACCCTCCACACACCTAACCAACACACCCTCATTTCCTTATGTGCACAACATAATTCACGCTGAAGTATGAATTCAGGACCTGCTCATCTATCTTAAACAGAAGTTGTCCAGAATGAATGACACAGGGGTGATGAAGCCCCCACAGCATGGGAAGACCTGCCATCCTGTGACATGATTCTAACCAAAGGACATGGTGAACCACTGCATTATTCCCCAGCCTGTGGCCCTGTTGGCTTTCCTTCTCAGCAGAAGGAAAACTGCAGAGAAGAGCTCTACCACTGTCACCAGCTGCACTGGGAGGTGGTTTGGCTTTTTAAATGTTGAAGAAAATAGTGATGGCTGTAAAATTTTTACTATTTCAAACAGAAATCCCCCCCTCATACTACTTCTTGCTATTACAAGAGGCTGAAAGAGTCACAGTGTCAAACAAAAGCATGGTCCCTTGGTTCCATTCAAAGGAAACACAGGCCTAAATCTGTGAAAGTGGTGGAGGAAGAAGAAATTTTGTCCATTGTTTGCCTGGTACCTGAAGGGTTAAGGTACATACACAAAAAGTAGGAGACTTGAGTGTCTCCTTCTCAGCTTTAGGTATGTGCATCACCTCTCTGATCATCCCTGTACTGACTGATCTGCCCAGTGTCCTCTTGTTGATAATGCCTGATTTGCTATTAACAGAAAAACTAAGGACATGCCTGAAAATTCCTCCTTCTTGGACATTAGGACAATCCAGTTGCATTTGGATGCAGTACTGCATAGGAGTACATGGAGGAGCTGGATTGCATTCCTGACTTTGTGTGCAGTTCTGTGTGCTAATTATCAAGCTGCTCTTTCTCCATCTCAAGACGGTAACATACATTTCTGGGTCCCTTAATTAGGGAAATGCAAATCACTGGAATTTATCATTGCAGTTTATCCCTGGATCATTGAAAAAGTGTGATTTGCATAGTTAAGAAAACACGTATGAAACAACTCGTCTTTTTTAGAATACCACGTTTCCAAGTGATATTTTGCCATGGTTATTACTTAAAGGATCTGACCTTATTCTGTGCTGTCTACAGCTTTGTCTACCTGTAAATACCAATTTTATACCAAAACGAAAAGATAGTCATGAGAACTTTTGCTCTATTTCAGATTATTAGATACTGCAGAGGAGGAGAAGGCCCAATCTGGGTGTCGGGTGAAAACAGGCCTGAAGAAAAAGATATCCCTAATTGTTTATGTGGTGCCAAAAGGATTTTTGAATTCCAGGTATGTAAACTCATTTAAAAATAATACAGGTTATTTTATATATATGTATATATAAATATATATCTATAAATATATATATATTTCAGACTTAACATGATCTAATTGTATAGCGGTTGGCTTGTAGTTAGGGCAAGAACGTTGAAGTTGCTACATACTAACTATGTTAAATGATTGCACAGAGCCTTTATATACTATTGTAACTGCTTTTTCCACCACATAATTTGCACTATCCATAAAATGGTGCTCTTGTGAATATGGAATCATCTCTTAAGTAACAGGAGTCCAGTATTATATATTTCAAAAATTAAAAAGCCTTATGTAAATATGTCTGGCTGGAAGTATTCACCTGTAGAATTTTGAATGCTAGAGATGTATGCATGGTGAATACACTTAATGTCATGCAAAAGTAAAACATAGTTATGAAGGTAATTTCAAATGGAGTGAGGCTCAGAACTGGGGCAGGGCATATTAGGTCAAATAAAACTTCTATAGATGAAGTAAATAGGACTGTGCTTTTGATTCTTTGGGCATCTACTACACTGCTTTGGGAATTTCAAATTTATTTTATTTGAGCTGCTGTACGCACAGTCGCTTCAGCTGGGATTTGGTGTAAGAGAGCATAAATTCTCTTACACCAAATGCAGGACCCTTCTTCAGGAAGAGAAGCAGGGACAGGGGAGAAAGCTGTGGCCTGCCTCTAAGCCTTTTGGTTTTCCTTGAAGATTATGCCACAGCTCCTGAACCACCTTCAGGTTGACAGCCTTGGAGAGAGCATTGACTGGGGAACGCTGGTGGTGTACACTTGTGCTGACAACTGCGGTGGGGCAAACGAATACCTGGAAGAGTTCATATGGAAACAAGACTATTCCGTGGGCCATGGTTTACCAAGTTGAGTCATCTAAATGGAGTACTTGCCCTGTTTCATTGCATCTTTGCGCTGTGCAAACAGGTGGTTGAACTAGAAGTCACTGTTAACAGTGGATCTTGTAACAGTGATAAAACTGCTATAACTAGACCTCGAACAGCCTCTCACTTGTGCTCCAGGGAAGCTTTTACATCAACCTGGTCATGAAGCCAGATGTGTTTGTTCTGTGAGTTTCATTTCAAATCTCATTTCTCACTGTTTTAATAAAGATGAAAAGCTTTGGATTGGTGAAATTATCTTTTGTTGGTGATTGATAGAACTTCAAAAACTTAAAGACTGGTGTCTGTCAGGATTTTGTTCTCTTTCTGAACAGGTACACTCAGTCTAATTTGACAGTTCTTACATGTTCTGATCGAGTGGTTGTTGGAGATAAAAGGCACAAAATTAAGTGTTTTATTGGACTTAAACTATTTCTGCATGGAGCTAATAGTTTTAACTCTGGTGCAGAAGCAGTTTTAACAAAGTGAGCCATACCAGAACACATTTTTCTTGTTACATACTGCCTGTAGCAGCAGATTTTCAAGCTGAATTGTACCTTAAGTCTGCCAGCTTTAGTAAAGTTTAAAAATAAGTGCCCTCCGGAGGGATTCTTCTGCTATTTGACAGTCTTATAGCTGAGGCAAGAGAAAAGTGAAACCATAATGCTGAGGTTACTGTGGTAGCTGCTTAACTACTCCTGTGGTTATAGCTACATTTGCAGAAAAGGCTTTTTTGTGTGTGTCAGTAGAGAATGGACTTCAGTTACATATTCCCTTATCCATCTCCAACCATTCACAGCTGCTTACCAGCGACTATGAAAGTAATTTTATGAAAGTCCTAGGCCCACTGTGGGGTCTTTGGGATCATTTAGATGTTGAAAATACTCAAGTGAGCAGGCAGAGAACGCTGTACCTGTAACTGGTTTTGTTGATGCAGGACTTAATTTCTAGAAAGGAAATTTTAAGCCTTGGTACTCATCATGAAACAGCATTTTAAGTTACTGTAGTACAGCTCAACTGATTTTACTGAAAACCATCCCATAGTTACGGAGGGCTCCAGTTGAAGAGTTTTTCAGGTAAGTTGGTAATAATTCAGGGTCCTGCAAAAGCAGGGACAGTCCTACAATTACAATTAAGAGCTCTCAGGAATGTTCATGAGCTCACAGCACAGAGTGCTGTGACACTGAAGGCAGTGTTTGAGTATCATGAACTTATCCTGGCACAGCTACATTATTAGACAGCATCTTTCTGAAAAGAATCATGAAACCAATTAATAAACACCTAGAGAAACACTGGTGTAGAGAGAAGACTGAAGATTAAGGTCACTCAGTATTTGTAAATGGAGCAATATCAAAGCCAGCCAAAACTTCATTTGGTCTGGAATGAAACACCAACTTCGTAAAGAGATCATGGTTTACATTTGGGTTAGTTTTAGATAAAAGTTGTTTGAAATAACGTGCAAGTCAGAGAGAGTTTACTATTACTGAAAATTTACTGAAGAAAAAAGTTTATTTTTAGTTCTCAGCCCATTAAGCTTCAAGCACGGTTCAGAAGGAAGATTATGTACATACTGACTAGTTGGAAGGGCTTTGACATTTTACAGGAACACTAATATAGTGAAACTGTCAGAGCTGGTAAAATACAAAAGTAGTAATTTAAAGAAATTCTAGGAGCTAAGCAGGGATCTTTTGTTCCAATTCAGTCAAGTGTAGCTATTTAAGACTTGCCTAAATCCCATCTCCTGACAACACCTACTTGAACACAAACTTTTTTAACCAGTCATCTCTTTTGTTTTAACGTATTGGAAGTATTCAAGGTAGACGTTTCTAAGGATGTGACTGCTAGTGAATAAGCCAGAGTCTCTCAAAATAACAAGTCACTTACAGTAGTGCATATGCTAACAAAAGATCCAGATTTAAAAAAAAACCAAAAAAAACCAAAAAAACAATGTATTTCACTCTACCAGATGGGTAATTTTAAAATTTATTAAGACAGTTCCCATAGTTGTATAAACGGGGTTTATTGTACATGTGGAGCTGAAGAAGGAAAGAGAAGAAAGGTATGTATTATATATATATATGTACAGTGAGCCATTTTCATTAATAAATTTATCCTATCTTGTTTAATACTGGAAAGCGGGAATGTGTCTGGCACCAAAGAAATTAAAGTTGAAAAAATTTAAAAGTTAAAGTTCTGAAAATTATAAAATCATGGTCTTATGGAAGGAACTTAAAACATATATACATGGCAATTTAAGTGGTTTATACACTGAGTGACACAGTTGCATTCGTCTTTAAACCAACTTACAGATTTCCTATTAATAGAACTGGCATTAAAACTATTTAAAAGCTAGAATATAAATAAAAATCAGAGGGACTGCTCTAGGAACAGCCCAGTAAAGCAACTCACAGTAACTCAGTAGACATATTCAAGAATACAGTTCCCCTTGACCATCAGGGAAGTAGGCACTAACTGGGAAATAGTCCAAGTCCTGGTGTTGCAGTTGCACTGGAAGTCCGTCTCTTGTTACTGCTGTGCCATACACAATACCTTTTAAAATAGACCCCTGATTTCTCTGAAACATGTAGAAACTGTTACGTTGTCTTTCTGAATCCCTTTAAAATAGGATAGATGTTTTCAAATGCTTCATAGATTTCTGCTCGTACTTTAGCACCTGGAAAAAGACAGGGAATAAAGTTAGTTTGTACCTTTTACCTAATACTCTATTTTAGGTTTTAGAATGTTTATTTCAATGTGACTCTATATAAAACCTATGCATATCCATAAATCCTTATTTTTACAATCTTTTTAAAAACACATTTCATAGAGAGCATACATTACCAGCCTTCTCACTGTTTATTTTGAAAACTGTTACTACTTTCATTAGCATCTCTGTGCAGATGCTAACCTGCAAATGGGATCATCCTATACATAATTTCCACAGAAGACCCAGCTACAAAGCACAGCCCCGCAGGATGTTTCTGCAGAAAGGCTTAACTGATGGAGATTTTCTGAGTGTGAACAGCTGTAAGAGGAAGGTCTGACAGTGGAGACTGCTGCAGAGGCCTGCCCATTCCCCATACTGCAGGGACATGATTCTTTGCCCTGCCAGTCTTGTGGGTTTTTTTCCATAGCAAGACAGTATGAGGGGAAAAGGAAGGGTGTAGGTGGAGTGTCTCAGGTTGAAGAAGTCCTAGAGCTCAGCCCTTCTTTGTCTGCTGTATCATGAGAGAATGGCAGCATCCTGCAGCCAAGCTGCCAAAGAACAGCAAAGACATAGTGCAGGTAGCTCAGTGTGCAGCTGCAGCGCTGAGATGCAGACTGAGGTGTGTGTAGCAGGACTCCCAGGCAAGACACCATGAACTGCCTGCCAACCGTTTGCATAACAAAGGACACCAACAAAGGACACCAGGACCTGTGGGACAGCCAGGTGGCCACGCTCAGAGACACAGCAGGAGCCAAGGACTCAGCTGGAAGACCCCAGACTATTTCATTTAGACTGTGAGGGTATAAAAACTTTTGTTAAAAACTACATATATATATAAATTCTTTTGTTCAGGGTCCCTCCTCGGGGGCACCCAGCTCGAGCTGTTATTTTGTTATTGCACCAAGATGAGACTGTACTATGGGAAGCTAGGGGTGGAGCTGGTAAGGAAACCTTGTCTGACTGTGTGAATGTGGTGTGTGTAGCAAGTCAAGTGGGGCACCTGTCGGCTTACTGGAGACTGCCCCGCTGCAAACAGGCTTTGGTCCTGGTGCAAGTGGTGCTGGTCTGACTGCCAGAGTGGCTCCTGGATGGTTGGACAGGGAAGTTTCCTTAACATCATCCACAGAACATTCTAACTCTTCTTTCTCAGTACTGTCATCTCTAAAGGAAAGTGTGTTCTCTGTAATACAGTCTAAATCTCACCTACTGGAGTAAGATACTATCTTGACTTACCAGTTAAAACCACTTTTCCAGAAACAAAAATAAGCAGTACAATTCTTGGCTTGATCATTCTGTAGATTAATCCAGGAAACAATTCTGGCTCATAGCTGTAAGAGAAGAGAGTAAGTGTTTAAACTTGTAAGCTTTTGAACACACGTTCCACTCTTATCTTCTGCAGGACTGGGCAGAGCAGACACAGACCACTGAAACCTGGAGAGGGTAGTAGGGAAGATTATTCTGATAGGTTCATAATGGGCAGCCTCAGCTGCACCTAAGGCAGTGCAGAGATGAGAACAAAGATGCAGGTTTCCCTGTGGTGCAAGGGAACAATCTAAACAGATGTCACTCTCTGAGCTAGCTAGTACGCAACAGGAATGAAACACAAGCAAGCCTCTTTTTACCTGCTGAACTGCTGGTGTGTGAGTACCAATCCTTCCAGTCTGATGGGAAATTTCACGTCACAGCTGCCCACCATGTTCTGAATTTTAAAATCCAAAAATTTTGCAGGAAAACCCAGTTTCTGAACAACTCTTGCATACTTCCTTGCTGCCAGTCTGGATTGCTCCTCACTGAAGTGAGAAAAGGATATCTGTATTATTGCCTCAGTCATGTATTACTTGAAGCACACAGCATGAAACCACAAATATCTAACTGGGAGAAAAATGGCTGTGTGGAGGGAAAAGGAAGGTCACATGCAAAATCTTTATATTCAAAACTACCAAGTAGCACTGGTTTTCATGCTAATTTTGGTAGTAATACCCTGAACACCACTAGTGTTGCACTCACTGTTCACGAGGCACAAAACAGTAAATTATAAATCCATATATTTCACGCTTTTAAAATATTGACCAGAGTCCCTCTAATGGGACATGGGAACTGTTATGTAAGTTATCAGCATAGAACAACTTTGAACTACTACTGCTAGAAAATACACGTTTCTATAAAAATCTCTCAACTGCCAAAATCTTTTGCTTGATTGAGCCCAGGAATTCGAATGGGTTTAACACAACTGCACAGCCTTACATGGTGTTGCAGAATTCAGTTTGTTTCAGGTTTATAAACAGCTGTGCATCTGGTTGTTCTTGACGCAGAGTAGGACAACTTGAACTTCAAGTGTCACCAGGCAGAGAAAAGTTTTCCCTGTACAGCTCTATTCATTCATCTCTGCTCATTAGCTTATTCCTTCTGGATTCCTAGTAGAGTTCTTCAGAGCAGAATTTCTATTCTGGCCACCAGAGTTAAATTTTTGTTTAGTTTTCAAGTCTTGTGCTTCAATGATCATGTTAAGAGCTAACTAACTAAGATCAGACAACCAGGACCAGAGACTTGGAGCTCTTGTCCTGTGATGAATGAAACTACTTAAATATAAAAACCTTCTGCCACTGCCCCAACAGTTTGAGCAGTTCCAGTGCATAGTCACTGAATTTTTAAATTATTAGAAAAAAGCAGATAATTGCAAAGCCAAAGAACTGAATATAATAACTTCTGCAAACCAGTTTATTAGACTGGATTAAAGAGCTTCAGAAATAGAACTACCATTTCCCCTTTAGTTGGGAAGTCCCTTTAGTCATGAAAAGAAAGTTCGCATAGAAATGTGTATTACACAAACAGCTGTGAAGCAACATTAGTTGTACCTGTATGACTTAGATGTAAATATATATATATAAAAAAAAAAAAATTACTTCTAAAGCATTATGGTACACGAGAAGAGACAGCGTGAATTAGTTTGCTTTTAGTGCCTAAACATACCTTTTTGCTCCTGTGCACACCATTTTTCCAGAGCTGAATATCAGTGCAGTAGTACGTGGTTCTCTTATTCTCATAATAACAGCAGCAAAACGCTGAAATGTGAGCATTGAGGCTATTAGTGATATATTGCTGTAATCACTGCATTAAAACCAAAACTGCATCATCTAAGGAGCAAGTTACACTGTAGCATAAAGAAATACTAAGTTCAAACATACTCACTGATCACTCAAAGTTTTCTTGAAATGCTTACATCATAAGTACCTTCAAACACACACAATGAGAGGTAGAGCCAGGCAGGAAGGATATTTACCATTGCATTGCTATTTTACTAAGTTAATCTCTCGTTATATGCAACATATAAATAATGCTAACATTTGCATCAGAGCAATAGAGACAACTTCAAAAATAAATTTAAAATATTTCCTCCAAATGTCTTGAAATTTGATCTAAGTACAGTGGAAGACTATCTGCAAAAATTTTATGATCCGTTTTGTTTCTGTGTCTTAAAAAAAAATAAATTGGACAATGTTACAATACCAGCAAACAGATCAGCTAGAGATCAAAGTTCTGTGTAAACAGAGGTCACCTTGGCTACCACAGTAGGACACAGCAGCCCGGTTAGCTCTACCTTTTTATGTTAAGTAAGCATTTCCAAATATTCTTAAACTCCTTGAAGCTAGAGATACTGGAAACTGATGCAGGCATACACACATACACAAGTAAACCCTTCTTTGTTGTATTTAACTTGGACTAGCTCACCATGCAGTCCCACGAATTGTTCTGCTGGCATAACCAAGGCGGTAGCGTGGGTAACCCAAGAGCGCATTTGTCAAAATATGTCTTAAATAGTACAGCCAAGCACCATCTTTCTGTGATAGATGAGTGTACTGACTAAACGCCAGGAGTGTGTTACATAAGCCTCCTTTCTCTCTGACATGGAAAACAGTGTTTCGTATTGATTATTCTAGCCTACGAGTTTTACACAGCCACCTACCCTCCTACCTTAGGAGTCACCACGGCTTGCTCAAATTTTTGCTGCACTAGTATCTTACTCACAATTATGTAACAGCATCACTGATATAAGCTTTCAGGAACAATCATTTATGACATACGCCTGCATGCATGCTTTAAACCTTTGAGAACAGAGTTCAGGTAAACTGCAGCCAAGTCCTAAAGAGTAAAGCAAAAAAACCCTAACACCCAGGAAAAATGAAGTCTTCCCAAGGGTAACCAATTGAACTACGTAACATCTAAACTTTTATTGGTGTCCAGCTACTGTGGTTGCAAAGATAGCATTTCCAAGAGGAGCCACCCAAAAGAAAAATGAAGAGACATAATGGTCCTGATTTAACACTCCAGGTCCTCTGCTGTTGTTCAAGGTTTCCCACGCTAAAACAACCCCACAATTTAACACACTACCATTTAGGAGTAGCAGGTAACTTAAAAGTCGATGTGCAAAAAAAATCAATTTCACTTTGGTGTTTCACCAAACTTAGCCATCAGAAGCAATGAGATGGCAGGAGTACTGGGGGAGAACACAAGAGAACAGAGGGGAATCAAGACTCTAAAAAAATGAGCAACTGCGCTGTGATCACAAGAATTCCAAGGGAACAGGTTAGGTAGAGGAAGCCATGGAATATACAGAACAACCATGCCCATATGAACAGTAGCAGAGTTACCATAAAAGGCTTGGCCAGTGTACTACACTGGTTAGGTTCTTCTACCAAATTACAACCTGGTGCAAATCACAGCTACCTCAGTATAAAAATGCTTTTTACTAATTTGACAGAATGTTCTAAGTTTATTAAAAATTTCTTCTTAAACTACAGTATAAAACTGCATCTCTATCAGGAAGGTTTTTTGGTCTATTGCAGAAACCTGCAGCCACAACCTTTGAAATACATTTCTCTTACCTTGGGATTATATTCAGCATTTCGGGCACGAAGCGCAATAGTTTTTAGGTCAAGTTTGCAACCAAGATTCACTGTGGACACAATATTCCTGAAGACAGGTGAGAGAAATACATTAAAAAGACAGTAAGAAATTCACATGTCTTCCTTGTTTTTAACAAAGCTTAACTGATTTTACTTTTTCATTATTTTGTTTCTCCAAGAGAGTTTGAATGGCATTTTTCCTATTAACAGGTGCACCAAGCAGTGTTTTGATGTAGTTCCTAAGGCATGATTGTTGATTCCCACTTTTCTGCCAGCTATTATGAAAACTGCCCCATGAGAAGAACTCTATTTCAGTTTGGCTGGAAAAGTTCTTGATTCTGAGAGCCCTCACCACAGTCAGAGAAGCTGCTGGAAACAGGAGAAAATGAGGTAGTACCATCTGAAATTTTCCTTGCTATGCCCTTCAAGGAGGAAGGTGCAGAACTAAGTGGGAATGGCACAGGAGGTAAATCCATTGCCAGGAGATGGGATAGCAGATCTCTAGGAAGTTTAAAAGAAGTTCCTAAATACAAAATTTTGTTCTGTGGGAAAACCCTGAAATTTAAAGGTCCTCAATGTGGTGTGGGGGGAATGGATATGAGAAACTACTCTTTCAATTCAGCTTATCCATTTCTCTTTGCCCCTTCCATAAATTTCTGAAAAAGTCCCTTTAAAACTGAAGTTCAATGAAAATACTTCCATACCTAAACTTAGAACTAGTACTAGAGTTTTCTTCCCTTCTTACAAACTCAGTGTTAGCCATGAACTAGAAAAGGCAACATGATGAACTCCTAAAGTGCATAGAGTTAAAAGTAACAATGGTGTTAAATGAAGACATAGTAAGTGAAGAACATCCTCCACTGTTATACTGAAAAGATGTATGGTTGACAAATCACTAAGAAACTGTTTATATTATTAAGTGGTTTACAAATGAAGCTAAGCTAAAAAGCAAAAATTACTCATATTGCTACAGGAGACCCATACATTCTGGGTCCTCCCTTTTCACCAAAATGCAGTACCCAATTCCTGATGTGACTTTGGTCCTAAGTCTTTAAAAGGCTATCTGAGAAAGAACACAGTGCACTACCACATGGAGCACTCACTGTAGTTGTGGCACTATCCCAGAACTCTCTGATGCTGGTGTTGCAGGAGTTATTGGTGTCATTGGAGTCATTGGAGAGGGGTACAGAGGTGTGGTTCCTGGTAAAGGGGCTGTGGTAAGAGTCTGTGAATGGAAGAGCTGGGGAGTTTGACCAGATGTTCCCTGTGTTGCTTGCTGTGATGTAGATTGCTGTGCTGCTTGTTGCTGCTGCTGCTGCCGCTGCTGTTCCTCTAATATAGACAGACTGTTGGTGCTCTGGACAGGCTGTGGTGTCAGTCCTGTGCCATATGGCATCATTGGGCTAAAAATGGGAATTCCCGGAGTCATTGCACCCTACAGAAGAAAACATGAAACAGAAACCACAGATCATGTTGATTCCATTTTGTTTTTAAGAGACAAAGTTTTCAGGGGGAGTCTAAAAATAAATCTGTGTAAATTGACTTGATCATCTCAAACCTAGAGCACATACTAACTTGTTAAAAAGAGTAAGTCCTTGGAAATGCTTAATAGAATAAAGCATAAATGTTTTACAGAATAAAAGACTACTCCTAGGGATCTAGGGATCTGATGTGTTTCTCACACTACCTTGCAAGCATGTCTCAACTTTGACCCATAATTTAATTTGCAATTGTTTGAATAGACTGTGCCCATTTTACCAAACACATTCTTAGCCCAGCAACAATCTATTATGCACGTAGTTTAAAGGGCAACCACCAAAATTAAATTAATCTTTCCAACTTGTCAGTCATGTTTCTACTTAGAGGAACCCCATGTTTCTTATACCTCTGGATATACACACTGATGGTTTTAAAATTCTGCTTTATACTAGTATTATTCGATACCTAGCAGAATTTTTCAGATCTGCAAACAAAAAACCCCTGAAGTTACATGCAAGAAATGGAAAATACTTTCACATACAGAAAAAAATCAGATAACAGTTGCATCTTAGATCATTTGCTTTTACCTGAGGGGAGGCTAAGCCTTGAGCATAGGGTGGCAAACTGTTGTTCTGATCCATGATTCCAGTTATTTCTTTGGTGAGGCCAGAAGTATTTCCTTCAATTAATTTAAATAAACTTCAAATCCTAGAGGACTTTTAACCGTTTAAAACATTCCAGCAAAGTAGCTTTTAAAGCCAAGTTGAAAGGTGCTAGGAAAACATCAGCTCCAGAGAAATAGGTTGTGAGTCTAAAACACTAACCAAAACCTGAAAAGAAAAAGAGTAATATCTTGAGAATAATACCTAAAAATAAAATGAAAAACAAACCTATGAGCTGCTGACTCAGATAGAAGACGCACACCCACGTATAAATACATAGAAGAAAATTCACGCTTATGCACACACACATGCACAATACATAAAAATAACCTTTTTCAGGCACAGTCCACAGAAACTTTGCAGCGTGATTCTGCTGAAGCCCCTGACAGGTTATCTGACTCACATGGGCAGGCCTCTGTCTAAACAAACCTTCCTGCACAAACAATTCAAGCCATTAATGCTCATTCTACTCCAAGGTTTGCTTTATCTGGAAAAGCACAGATTTTTTTAGAATTTAATTCCCCTGACTACTAACCAACAGGCTTACCGACACATTGCTTGTAAGCCTCTTCCTGGCAATTTTAAGGCTTGGGCTTTCAAAAATTATTTTTTTCTTCTATGAGAAAAGCATCACTGGTCAAATCAGAACTAGGAAAACCTCTTATCCACTTCCAATAGACTTCAAATAACAGGGGATATGTGCTTTATCGGAAAAAAAAAAAAAGTGAAAAACCACTTCAGGTGTACCAGTGAAACATCCACATGATTTGATTTTATTTTTTCAACTATAGCTCTGTTTCTGTCTTATGGAAATAAACAACACAAGTGAAGAATTTAAATTTTATGCTATCAATGATATAAAATATTTTCCCATTAATTTGTAAGTTCCTTAACTATTGCCTAGAAATACTCAAGGTCATTTTCAGGCCAGAGGTTGGCCACCTCAAAATCTGAAGAAAGCCTATTCAGGCTTTTTTTTTTCCCTTTAGAGATATGAGAGCTTAGAATTACAATAATATTTACACTGCAGCTAAAAAGCCCTGCTTTTTTTTTCCCCGATGACTATAAGATATTACGATCTTTACCCTCACCGAAGGTATCAAGCAGAGCACCCAGGTTTTACAGCCTGGGGACAGGGGTACATTAGAAGCCTAGACATTACCCTGGAAGAAATAAAGCCAACTCCTCGACAGCCTGGTGAGAAGCCTGGATACCAGGCATGCCAGAGCCTGCGGCGAGGACACCGGCTACGCAGAGGCCCATCTTGTAGCCACCTAACGAGACTTGCCACTACAAACGCTAAGCAACGTCTTGGTCCAGGGAACAGAGTCCAGAAGCAGGGGACACCACGGAGGAGGCCCCGACCCACCCCCGAGGCCCCGTTCGGGCTCCCCCCGCCAACCACACAGCAGCGCCGGGCATGCGGCCACCGCTTCCCGGTGCCCTCCAGCCCCTCTCGCTCCCCACCCAGCACCGGCCACGAAGCCGCGCAGGGTCCCGCCGCTGCCCGCGCCCAGCCCGCCCCCGCCGCCACCCGAGCCGCTCGCTGCCGAGCCGCGCCGGAGCCCCGCGGCGGGGCAGGGCAGGGTAAGGCGGCCGGGGGCGAGGAGTCCCTCCCCGCTCTCCCCGCCGCGGCTCAGGCCGCCCCGCAGGCGCGGAGCGAGCCCGGCCCCGCGCACCATCCCCGCCCTCCAGGCCCGGCCCGGCCCGGCCCGGCCCGCACCACGGCGGCCCCACCGCCCCCTCGGCGTGCGGCGGCCGCAGGGCCCGGCGGAGCTCCGTACCTGCCGCCCTGCTCCGCTCCGCTCCCGCCGCGCTCAGCGCCCGCCGGAGCACGGCCCGGCCCGCCCCCGCCCCGCCGGCGCGCCCGCCGCGTCACTTCCCGCCGCCGCCGCCGGGAGAGGAAGAACCTTGGCTTCCCGGGGAAGAACTTTCCGAAATTCAACAAGGGCAATTGCGGGGTCCTGCGCCTGGGGAGGGATAATCCCATGCACCAGTACAGGCTTGGGGCCGACCTACTGGAATGTAGCTGTGCGGAGAAGGGCCTGGGGGATCCTGGTGGACAAGGAGCTGTGTGTGGGCCAGCAGTGTGGTCTTGTCTCCCAGAAGGCCAGTGATGTCCTGGTGCATTAGGAAGAGCATTCCCAGTAGATCGAGCGAGGCCCCTCTGCTCCACGTCTGGAGTACTGTTTCCAGTTCTGGGCTCCTCAGTACAAGAGAAACATGGAGCTCCTGGAGCAGGTCCAGGGATTAAGGGACTCTCTTATGAGGAAAGGCTGAGGGAGCTGGACCTGTCCAGCCTTGAAAACAGATGACTGAGAGGGGACCCCATCAGTGTGTATAAATATCTAAAGGGTAGGTGTTGAGAGGATGGAGCTAGGCTCTTCTCGGTGGTGCCAAGTCATAGGATGAGGCAATGGGCAGAAACTGATGGACAGGAAGCTCCTGAATGTGAAGAATTTCTGTACTGTGTGGGTGACTGCACACTAGAACAAATTGACCAGAGAGGTTGTGGAGTCTCCGTCATTGGAGATATTCAAGAACCATCTGGACACAATCCTGTGCTATGTGTTCTTGGATGATCTTGCTTGAGCAGCAAGGTGGCCCACTGCAGTCCCTTCCAGCCTGACCGACCCTGCAGTGCACGAGGCCTGGTTGCAGGGGCTATGCTGGAGGTTTTCCCCCGTGTTATAGCTGTACAGACTTACACACCGCAGTGTTGCACTGGCGGCTCTTGCTGCTGTCTGTGTGCAGCACCCATGGAGGCTGCAGCCATCTCAGCTGTGCTTCCCAAGCAGAGTGACGCACTTCTCCTCCAGAATATCACATGTGTCTCCTGCATCTCTCTGTCCCTCTGTCCTTCTCCCCTAGCACCACTTCAAGCTTCTGCCCCAGCCCTTCTCTCTTGTTTCCACTCATGCCATGGCACCTGGCACCACAGCTCATGGCCCACCTCAAGGACTTGATGAGACCCCATCTGGAGTACTGTGTCCAGCTCTGAGGTCCTCAGCACAAGAAAGACCTGGACCTGTTGGAGCAAGTCCAGAGGAAGGCCACCAAGATGCTTAGAGGGATAAAGCACCTCTTGTACAAGAAAAGGCTGAAATAGTTTGCCTTGTTCAACCTGGACAAGAGGAGGCTTTGGGGGGACCTAATTGCAGCCTTCCAGTACCTGAAGTGAGCCTACAATAAAGGCAGGGACGTTTTACAAGAGCATGTAGTGGCAGGACAAGGAGGAAGGGCTTTAAACTGAGGGAATAGGTTTATATTAGGTACTGTGAGGAAGTTCTTCGCTGTGAGGGTGGTGAGGCACTGGCACACATTGTCCAGAGAAGTTGGGGATGTCCCATTCCTGGCAGTGTTCAAGGCCAGATTGGGTGGTGCTCTGACCAATCTGGTCTACTGAAAGGTGTCCCTGTCCATGGCAGCAGGGTTAGGACTAGATGATCTTTAAGGTCCCTTCCAACCCAACCCAATCTATGATTCCCGACGCTTGGTCTTCACAACGGTTCTCAAGGTGCTCCCTCCTACGGAGCCAGAGCCACCCTGGTCCCCACCTGCCCAAATACTAGATGCTCTTTGATGGCTCCACCACAGCTGCTTATCAACCTGCGCGTTTCCGTGAGCGGGCGCGCAGATGTCAGGGGCTGGCAGCGCTTGGACTGGGCAAGAAGCGGTGCCTGTGATGCCAGGAGGGCCCGGGCACACACCGAGCTGCTGGCGGGGGCGGTGATAGCGAGGCACGGGCGAGTGCCGCCCCCTACAGCGGCCCCTCCGCCCGCCCGCCCGCCCGGGCGCGGCGCTCGCCGCCCGGCGGAGCTGCCGAGAGGAGGCGGCGCTGCCGTGTCGGAGCGGCTCCGCTTCCGCCTCCGGTGCCGCCATTTCGCCGTGAGACAGCAGCGATGGCGATGTTGTCCGCCGCGGGATACGGGCCCTCCCGGCCTGAGATGGGCTACGAGCTGGACGGGCCCGTACAGCACTACCGCTTCTCGCCCTACACCTTCAACGGAGGGTGAGCGGCCGCGGGCAGCGAGCGGGACGGGACGGGGCGTCCGGGGCAGAGAGGCGCTGGGGCTGGACCTGGGGCTGCTGCGCCTTACTCCTGCTTGCCCCCGGGGCTCAGGGCGGGTTTGTCTCCCCTCAGGAGCTTCTCCTTGCAGGGAAAGAAGGGCAGCACGAGCGGGAGCAGGGCTCGGCCTTGCCCTGGCTCCGCGCAGCCCTTCGGGGTGTTCGTGCGTGGCTTTTGGCACACTCGGGCTCCCTAAACGCTTACTGGTCTTCAAATAAGCACCTTTAGTTCCCCGTGGGGTTGTTTCTTTATAGTGCCTCAGGGAACGCGGGAAATGGTCATATTACAGAGTCAGAGAATTGCTAGAGTTAGAAGGGACGTCTGTATATCACTCGCAGGGTCACCTACAGCAGGTGACACAGGAACGCGTCCAGGTGGGGTTTGGATGTTTCCAGGCAGGGAGACTTCACAGCCTATCTGGGCAGCCTGTTCCAGCGCTCTGCCACCCTCAATGTAAACAAGTTCTTCTTCATGTTGAGGTGGAACTTCTTGCGTTTTAGTTTATGGCCGTTGCTCCTCGTCCTGTCGCTGGTAAACATGTAACTGTTGCACGCTACCCTTGCTTTCCCTGTTTAAGGCAATTGATGTTTTACACATCTGAGGTGGTGGCAGGATCTGGCCAGGGTAGTGTTATTTAGATTTTTTCTTATGGTGCCTAACTGCTTTTTAACGGGCATCTGTTACTTAATGGTAGCACACCTGGGGGAATCACAAAACTAGTTGTTTGGAAGTGAATAAGATAACATCAGATTTTAAAAGTAACAATAATTTAAGTGTACTGATACATTTGCTTAGTACTTTGCTTGTTTTAGAAGGGTGAATCATTATCAGGCATCTAAAAGACTTGGTCTATTGAGTTTGTTTCTTGCTTGGTGTAGGGACACTGTTTTACCAAGTGTCCAGGTGGTTTTTAGTCAAAGTAGAGGGTCACGAACATGTATTTCCTTCATTGTGTCTGTTACATTCTTATGTCAGTCCTGGGTCACATGTAGGGATGTGCATAATGGGGAACATAGCAAGGAATATAAGATGCTTGACAAAATGTGAGTGTGGATATAGAATTCCTATCTAGTCTGGTTTTTGTGTTGCCTAAGAAAATATTTATGCTGAAACTTTGATTGTATCAATACTCTTCATTAAGGACTGTGCTGGCGATTGCTGGGGAAGACTTTTCCATTGTTGCCTCTGACACGCGGCTGAGTGAAGGCTATGCAATTCACTGCCGGGACAGTCCAAAATGCTACAAGCTGTAAGTCCAGATCTTTCAAAAATTGAAACAGATGAAAGATGTTTTGTATTGCTGACCATGTCACCTGCCTCCTGCTTTAAGTAGAATTCTTACACAAAAAGCATAGTAACAAAGCAGATTTTGGAGTCATGTTGACTGTTGCTGTAATTCAAGATGTGATGTGATGTTTGCTGTAAGTGTAGCTAGTGCTGAAAGCTCTTGAAGTTAGCTGATAACAGAACTATTTTAGCATGATACAAGGCTTAATCTAAGCTAGGTGGTGGTGGGGTTTTTTTTGGCTGGATAATCAGAAGAACTTTGGTGTTAACTGTAGCAAAACTTAATCCTGTGGTGACTCATTATGCTTCATCAGGGCTCCTGGTGTTAGTACACAAGGGTGCCCCCTGCAGCCTGTTGTACAGTTTCTCTCTAGTTAACCACCTGGAACTTTGGAAAAGCGTTTGTTTTGGGAAAAGTTCTAAAAATAACGTACTGTGTAAGAAAATGCTCTAGGTCATACTAAATCTAAAATTGCAACAAAATGTTACATTTTCCAGAACAGAACAAACCGTCATTGGATGTACCGGTTTCCATGGTGATTGCCTTACCCTTACTAAAATTATTGAAGCAAGATTAAAGGTAGCTACCTGTATTATTGTATTTAGAAACTTACATTCTTAACATTATGCTTGAAACATAATATTATATGTTTTAAATACAATTTTTGCTGTTCTTCTTCAAGTGTCTGTATCTTAACTGGATGGCTAGTGAAAGATCAGGCAGGGGAAGTCGATGCTGTGTTCTTACTAAGTGTGACATCACAAACTTAAAGAATGGAGAAGCTGGTGAGGAGAGTGTTAATGAGGCAACATCTGTTAATTGTAAAACTTGGGAGAGATTTAATATTTGGCTTGTAAGAAAGCTTTAACTTTTAGACCAGTGTGTTGTCAGTAATCATGCTAATTAAAAATCTTGCTTAACATCAGATTCTTCTGTAGTGAGATTACAGAAAATGTAATTTTGATTGAATGTCAGATTCAGTGTTTGACTTTCTTCTTGGATGTGCTCTACCACTGGCAGATGTACAAGCATTCCAATAACAAGACCATGACTACTGGGGCTATTGCAGCAATGCTGTCTACAATCCTGTATTCTCGACGTTTCTTTCCCTACTATGTTTATAACATAATTGGTGGACTTGATGAAGAAGGTAAGACTTTAAACAAAAAAAAGGAAGAGGAGAGGCTGAATTTCTGTGAGTGGATTGCTATCCCTTTACATCTCAGATGTACTGATGGAATAAAAGGGTTTGTGTTCCTGTTGCTAACACCTACCTTTAGTTATTATGCTGCTAACTTGATCTTCCATTTCTGAAGTTCTGAAAGTCTAAAAACTGTCATTTTTTTTCTTACAAATGAGATCTCTACAAGTGAAATCTTTCATACTTTAGACTGGAAAACTTTTTAACAGCTTTGCTGAATTTCTTAATTGCACCTTTAAAGGAGATGTTAGCAGTAAAATTGTGTATATTTCACCCAGGCACGTGAGTGTGGTAGAGGTTA